CGGTTATTGAATATGAGTGTGTGTGTATGTGTGTGTGCGTATGCCCAACCTTATGCCTAGCAACGCCTTTTGTACGGCAGAGGGCGCGAGCGGCTTGGTCTGCAGCAAGAAGAAGCGTTAGCACGCGGCAGACAAAAAAAAAACTTGTTGACATTGAAATTTTCGGCTTAAGCTGTGCAAGTTTTAAGAACTTTGTATTAAAACTCAGTGAAATTAAATGGCAATTGCGTTGTTTTTCATTTCAATGGCAATATTAACTGTACAAATGTCAAATGGTTGCAAGTTATCAGGGAAATGTGTACATAACGACATAATAAAGTGAGCAAAAATGCAAAGGTGAAAACTATATTTGCGCACACATACATACATACAAATAATTGTATGTATGCTTATATGTGCATGTGTGTGTCGGGCGTTTTGTTTTTGTTCTAATACTACAATTCGCCGTGAATCACGTTCGTTTCATTACAAAATACAAGCTTTTTAAATATTTCCGAAGTTTCCAGCAAATATTAATGCGGTTAGTGCTTATCAAATAGTGCAAGGCCATATAAAAAACAACCGCAACAGAATGCTCTCATATTTAGTTAATCACAAGACTATGAAATGAGCTACAAGCTATTTAAATAAAATGCTGATTATTTGCTTACATAGTTAAACATACTTGTGGTTTTTAAATAAGCAAAACGACTTCCCCTTTTATTGAATTAAAAGTTGCCGCTTTTTTCGATAACGTTTATCGCCAACCAATCATCGCTATCGATAATTGCGGCACAGAGCTGCCACTGTGTATTTTGGCGCGCTGGCAACGCTACAAAATTTTACGTGGCTTGGACGGACGAAAAACAATTCGTAGGCATTTTAATAATTATGTATATTTCAATGTAATATTTGTGAATGCATCTCAAGCAAATCAATGTGCATAGTGCGAGTACAAACAAAGCAATAAACACAAAGAGCCGTATGAACTGTAAGTAGCTGCTAAACATAAAAACTTGGCGGGGGTTTATGTGCAGTTGCAATAGCCAGTACCCGATGCGCTGCGCTGCAACAGGAGTTCCTGGGATCAACACAACAACCCTTTCACTTTTCAATTGCGATTCGCAGTTGCACCCACGTAGCTGATTTTCAGGTGCATTAATATGGCATCAAATCGTACGTAGCTAATTTAGAGTTTGTTATTCAATTGTTGCCATTTTGCAAAACAACTAAAAAGCACAACAGAAGCAAAAACTGTTGTTTGGCTCTACATATAATAATTTGCATGCATTCATACACACACACAAACATACACGTACATATGTGTGGGCGCTAAAAATAAATTGTTTTGGCATTTTTTGTTTTGAAAGAAAAATAAAACGGCCAATGAAAGTGCAAGAACAATGTTTGTGCTTTTTGTGTACGTCAACAAAAAATGCTTACATAAACACAGCGAAAGAGAACCCAAAAAAAGGACAAAGAAGAAAACAAACAAACAAACCGCGTCTTATGCTTTGCCAAATAGCAAACACACACACATACATGTACACGCTAAGAATTCCCCGCACCCGCACTGAGCTGTCAGCTTCTTGGGTTAACAGCTGTTTGCCAATTGCTCCCAGCAGCTGGCTCTTGTTCTTTCTTGTCAATGTCGTCGCTCTGTCTGCAGCGATTGCAGTAACGGTTATTTCGCATTCGAATGAAACTGCGAGCGCTTCCTCTCTCACACGCTCTCTCTCTCTCTCTCTCTCTCTTTCTCTTGCTCTTGCTCAACTCCTGTAGCGATTACGGTAGCGGCTATTTCGCATTATCAAACCACGAGCTCTTCTGGTGAAATATTCTTTCGTTTTTCATAGGGGCAACATTAACGTCCTTTTCGCACTCGAATGAAATTGCTCGCGCTTCTTTCTGCTCTCTCCCTTGCACTCAACAACTCTGCTTGCAAGCAAGTTTCTGCACGCATTGCATCATTCCGTTAACAGCGTTTCGTCAGCAATTTGTATAAAAGCGCAGCCGTTGGCGTAGCTCATCTTATTTCATCAGCGAAATGCAAGAACAGCGCACATCGCTCCATACTCGACTAAGGCAAATGGGCGTGGGATAGGTTAGGAAGAAAATAAATAACTGTTCATAGCTACAGATAAATATTTATTAAATCGTTTTACTGTCTCGCTTACTCTTGCAGAACATGCACACACACACACAACACACATACACAGTCGGGCAATGATTCCAAGGATATAGAGTTCGCCAAGCTTAGTTAGACACCCAATCATGAACAATATACAGAGTCCAACAGCGCCACCCATTAATGTGGGCGTGGGCATCAAGAGCGCACGCAGCAATATCTTCACCGTGGACGGCCTGCCCACACAGCAGCTGCAAGAGCTGAGCATCGACTACTCAAGCATACGGGCCAAGGATGTGCTCGTGGAGCCGACAGAGTCCCAGCTGCAGCTGCTCAAGCGACGTCTGCTCGATCGCATCGCGGACAGCTGCGGCGAAACCATCTACGAAATAGGCGTGGGCGAGGGTGAGTAAACCTTTACATATACATATAAAAGCACCAATCTAACGCTGATCACACATTCATTCACAGATGGTCAGGATAGCGGCCTGAACGCGGAGCAGTTCGAGGCCTCGGTGCAAACGCTGCGTCAGCTGGCCTCAGCCATAGATGCGGATCTGGTTAGCCTGCGCGAACGGCCTGCAGAGAAGGGCAAAACGGCGCAGTTTCTCATACGCAAGCATATCGATACGACGGACTTTATGGAGATACGGTAAGATCTGGCCTTGGATGCACTGCAGCAGCCAGTTAAGTGTAACCGATCTAATATGATTTTCCCACACAGCGTTGCGGTCGTGGGCAATGTGGATGCTGGCAAATCCACGCTGTTGGGCGTTTTAACGCACGGTGAGCTGGACAATGGGCGTGGTCATGCGCGACAGCGACTGTTTCGGCACAAGCACGAGATCGAAAGTGGACGCACTAGCTCCGTGGGCAATGACATACTCGGCTTTGATGGCGTCGGCAATGTGGTCAATAAACCAGATCATGGCCATTTGGATTGGGTAAAGATATGCGAGAAGTCATCAAAGGTCATTACATTCATAGATCTGGCGGGGCACGAGCGTTACCTGAAGACTACAGTGTTTGGCATGACGGGTCATGCGCCAGACTTTGGCATGCTGATGGTGGGTCTACATTCTTCATATATGTATGCGTATATATTAAGCTCCCAAGTCCCTTAGATCGGCGCCAACGCTGGCATTATTGGCATGACCAAGGAGCATCTGGGCCTCGCACTGGCCCTGGCCGTACCTGTCTTTGTTGTCGTCACCAAGATCGACATGTGCCCGCCGAATGTGCTGCAGGACAATATGAAGCTGCTCTTTAAAATGCTCAAATCGCAGGGCTGCCGCAAGGTGCCGGTGGTGGTGCGCAGCCAGGACGATGTGGTGCTGAGTGCCACGAATTTTGTCAGCGAACGCCTGTGCCCCATCTTCCAGGTGTCCAATGTGAACGGCGACAATCTGGAGCTGCTGAAAATGTTCCTCAATCTGCTGAGCACACGCATGGCCGGCTCCGAGAATCTGCCAGCAGAATTCCAAATCGACGATGTCTACTCGGTGCCGGGCGTCGGCACCGTCGTCTCCGGCACCTGTCTGCAGGGCACCATCAAGCTGAACGATGTGCTCATGCTGGGCCCCAATGCAGTGGGCACCTTTGTGCCCATCACCATCAAGAGCATCCATCGCAAGCGCATGAATGTGGAGCGCGTGCGCTGCGGACAGACGGCCAGCTTTGCGCTGAAGAAGATAAAGCGTGCGTATTTGCGCAAGGGCATGGTCATGGTATCGCCGGAGCTAAAGCCGCAGGCCTGCTGGGAATTCGAGGGCGAAATCCTGGTGCTGCATCATCCCACAACGATCTCGGCCCGCTACCAGGCCATGGTGCACTGCGGCAGCATACGCCAAACGGCATCGATTGTGCGCATGTCCTGCGATTGCCTGCGCACCGGCGACAAGGCGCGCGTCAAGTTCCGCTTCATCAAGCAGCCGGAGTACATACGCGCCGGCCAGCGTCTGGTCTTTCGCGAGGGTCGCACCAAGGCCGTCGGCAACATACTCCAGCCCATGCCGCATGCAGCCGCCTCGCCCTACCGGCCCAAGCCGGCCAAGATGCAGTCGCGCGCCCACAACGGCACCGGCAGCAACAGCAGCCACAATCAGCAGCGTCACAACGGGCAGGGCTCCTCCGCGTCGGGCTCAGCGGCCGGCTGCAGCAAGGATGGCGGCGAGCAGAACGGCGAGCGGCGCGAGGGCAGTCGGCGCGGCGGCAAGCGGAAGCGCAACAATCGCACCCAGCCGACCGGCTCCGCGGCGCCACTGAATGGCAGCAGCGGCTCCCATGCGGAGACGTTGCCGGAGGCGACACAAAACTAGAAACCGTATTTTAATCGACAACTGTTTTAACGGAAAAACGAAAGAAAGAACGTATTTTGTATACAAAATTCGCTAGTTGTTAAGCTCCAAAGTATTTTGGCGAAAAGGTTGTGCGGCAAGTGCGCGGCCGTGTTGATATTTGAGAGAAAATGAGAATTGTCTGAGAAACAAAACGAAGAGAGAGTGAAACTATTTTGCTACAGGTAACACGCGGTAAGACGACTTTGTATGCTGTGTGTAATTGTGTGTATATTTGCTAATAAATGTCTAATTTTTGTTTTCGTCCAATTTAAAGATTTAGCGCCAACAATTTAGTTTAACTAAGCGTTAAAAGAAAATTTGCCAAATTCAACTTATTTAATCTTTAAGCTTTATACACTGCGAAAAATTCTTGATTTTATCCACTTTCATTTTGCTAATTACTTTTCTTTTGTAGCATATAATTACGTTGAAACGTATTTGAATTGCATAATAAATTTACAGTTTGAAAAACTAAAAAATCGCAGAATTCATGGAATTAAGACCCAAATTTAAGAGCAAACATAATTTCCTGCAAGAGTTACGCTTGCAATTCGCAAGACAGTTGGCAACGCTGTGCGGGGTGCAGTCAGTGTTGTAAAATGCTGCCACATTTCAATAAGTTTTGTTTGCTCTTGAAATTTTGTTTATGTGCCTGAAGTTGCTAGCCTATAAATATATATATAATGTAATGTACAATAATTTAGTTATTTTTCTTATTCTTCAGCTCCCGTTTGACGCCCTCCAGCTCCTGCCGTATATTGTTTTTAAACATGTTCACAAACGACCTGGAAAAGGTAAGATTATTGTGTGCATTTCCCTTTTGTTTGTTAGGACTCACTTAAAGCGCTCTGGCGTCATCTCGTGCAGGCCCTGCTCCCTGGCCAGGCTCTTGGAGCGATACATCAGCGAGACAACCAACTGGGCAGCGCGTCGCATCGGATAGCTGTCGGCCATGCGCTGTATTAGCTGCTCATTGTTGGCCAAATAGCGCATCAGCAGTCGCAGCACCATCCTGCTGTCAGTGTGTGTGTGTGCGTGTGTATTCTAGAACTCCGTATCCTTGTATTTGCGTATGAGCTGCTGCTTCAGCTTCAGCTGGCTGCGCAACAGTTCCAGACGCTGCAGTTGCTCCTCCTTGTTGTAATCGATGCCCGGCAGCTGTTTTATTTGCTCGCGCGCCGAATCGAAGCGCTTTTGCAGCTCAAAGATCTGCAAAATGTTGCATATAAGGATAGCTCCAAGTTGTCTTAGCTGTTGCTTACCTTGTGATTGCAGTCCTGTGACTCGCGCAGCTTTACAGCGTTCTCGAGGGGATCCTTTTCCACGCTGCGGGCCAAGAGAAAATAATTTCTAGTTATATAAGTTAGACTAATTTTTTTAGCTGCGCAGTTGACGCTGCATATTTCATCGAAATTTATATTTTTTGGCAACAAAACAGTTGGTTGCACCCACACACACACACAAACACACAGGTGTCAATCAACTCACCAGCGCACAATATCGTAGATGATCGGCAAAATTTCGATGTCAAGCTGGTCAACTGTCAGCGGGCCGCCGATGCCGATGCCGTTCGATGTTTGCGTCTCCTGTGAAACGGTTGTTGTTGTTGCTGCTGTTGCTGTTGCGGCTGCTGCTGCTGTTGTTGTCGTTGTTGTTGCTGTGGGCTCAAATGGTGAATTTGATGTTTGCACTAGGCCGTCAGCAGTTAGTGTTGGTTTTCTGTCCTCAATTTGAGTAATGGGCGATAATTCCATTATATTTCTTATAATTTAGCGTCGTTTTTGTAAACGCGTTTGGCTCTGTTGTTGTTTTGGTGTGCGAGCAGTTGCTGTTAGTGTTATCGATATGTTTGGTGGCTATCGCAATATTAATCGCAGCAGTGTTGTAAAGCGCGCCTGCATGAATGACTGCATGTGCGCGCTTTTCAAAAACTGTTGATGAATTCGATTGAGCTGTAACACAAACGGTGCTAATTTTTACATTTACCTTTTACGTGTGTTCTATTGAACCTATAACATAAATATGCTCTATTAGAACGTTCGATATTTGATCAAGCCCAACACGTGTCCATGTTTACACTATCAAATTTATTCATTTAATTGTCAAAGGCAAAATGATGAATGGCCAAATAAAAGGCCTGAATTGTGCTAATTATTATAAATTAGCAAGGCATTTTTTTTGACAGCCGCTAATTAAAGCCACTAAAAATTGTACATGGCAAATTAATTAAGATCAAAGTCGTTTCTAACCGTTGATACATGAAAGATACGGCTTTCTGATCTATATCTCTATATGTGTGAACATAAAATTTTTATTACAACGAATTGCGTCTTTGACTTTCATTGTGCAAATAAATTAATTTCACTTGAAACCTTGCTATTGACGGCAATTCAAAAACAATTGAGAAATATTTAATTCGACTTCGCTCATTGCCATCAATTGAAGGAATATGCAAAGAAAGCTGAAAAAAATATAACTTCAGACTGATAAAACCTAATTTTATTTTATTTTTTGCAGTATATATTGATTGAACGACAGATCAGAGCAGAAATTTTGGCGACTTTTCAAAATTGCCGTTGTCAATTAAATTTTCAATTAACACAAGTCGGCACGGCTTATGAACGAAAAGAACCCCGCAAATACACACAACAAATGTCACGCCAATAATAAATGTGAATTAGTTGAAGACAATCAAATTGTAGAACGTTCATTTTGTGTTCTACAACATTAAAATTAACTGTAGTTTTCGATGTAGATATATACCGTTAGGCTTATGTTGATTTTTAGGCACAGCCAACTTAACGTCTGATCGCCGCCATATTTAGGCCAGCAAGAACTTGCGCATAATTTGTAAATTCGCACGCAAATTGCAAGCACCACCCCCTCCTTCTCACCGCCCACTCATATGCATTTTGACATATAAATAACAAATTTGTTGTCGTTGCTTTTACTGAGAACAACGTCAATGCTGCCCAACACAAAAAGCACTTGGTGACAGGTGCAGCGGTCGCCGCTCTTTTGGTTGATGCTCTTAAGCGCAACAGATGCTCAACTGTTGAGCCTCTTTGTTGTTATTAAGCATTCTTGCTATATTTCGCAAGTCAGGCCCCAATAAATGTTGTTGTTTTTTTTTTTTTTTGGCACGCTAAGATAGCTGTGCAGACGACGTCTGCTTCTTCTGTCAAGTGCGTGGCGATAACAATTCCCTTTGCTTTTGTTTTCTGCATCGTTCCGCAAGCATTTGCATATGCACATGCGTGTGTGGGTGTGTGCGTGTGCAAAGAGCCCCATGCTCTTACGGCAGCGAGCGCGAAAGAGAGCGCCCGAAACGTCAGTCAGCTGGTAAAACGCAGAGCATGAGCTAAAATTTATATTAGCGTGTGACGTGCGCTCACCAAAATCAGTATGTTCGCTTCCATCGGCTAAAACACAAGTTTTGTGCGAGTCCAAATAACCAAACAATATCAGCAACAACGAGCTTAACAAGCGGTCAAGCTATAACAACATCGATAATAACAACAACAACAATCAACAGCAGCAGCAACAATAACACGTCGGCGCTTTTTGTTTATCAAAAAGAAAAAGTTTAATTAGCGCGCGTAGCGACGACGCAGCCAAAAACACAGTGTTTGCGCTTTTTCGAAGGCTCTCCCGATTTTCCTTTGCCAATTTTATTACGTGTGCGTGCCGAAATACGTCATCGACGCGCGCAGCCAAAGTGCGAACAATAACAAAAACAACGGCAACAACAGGAGCGAACGGCAGCCATTGAAAGCTTCTGAGTGGGCAGTTCACATGCACACATCGATACAACAGTGCGAACATACAAGCATATACATAAATGCCAATTGAATTGAATTCAATTGCAAGTACAACGCGCGCAATCAACATAAATCGAGGAAAATTTCGCTCTGTTTGAAATAATTAATTTGTTATTGTGTCGTGAGCAACGGCATTCACAGTGAAACGCAACAGCCGCCGCCGCCGCGTTGGCCAGAGTCAAGCGCGCAACACGTGTGTGCGAGCGAGATAACTGCACTGTTTCCGTATTGTGAGCGTAGTAGCGGGTGCAAGTGAAATAAGGCGTTTGATAAAAAAAACCAAAGCACAAAGAAATAAAAAAAAAGAGTACAGCTGTAAACCAAAATAAGAGCAGATAAGAAAACGTGCAAAACAGCTGAGCAGTGCAGCAGCAGCCACAACAACAGCAACAACAACGATAGAAATCAAACGCAGCGCGCGCACTTTGTGTTCAATTGGTAAAGCAGTAAAGCAAACGTCTGCGTCGGCAGCGCAGTCGCAGCAGCATCCCACAATAAGTGACAATCAATTTGATCAACAATCAGCCAAAGCAGTAGCAGCAGCAGCAGCAGCCGTCGCCGCAGTCGCAGTCGCAATCTCTCATCGTCCCGTGTCCGTCGTAATCACAAGTTGGGGTTTTTTTTTCTTTCCTTCTTCTTATTTTCTCTGCTGATCATCATTGTCGTCGTCGTCGTCGTCGTCGGCTCGCGCTCGGTTTTGCGTTGAGGCTTGTGTTGAATTCGGGAACTGAAACTGAAACTGTATCTGTAGTTTCCCGCTAACGGCGAATATTCTCACAACTCATTGATATTTTAACCTCGTGTCCGTGTTGGTTGCCGCTCGACCAAGGTTCTGGCCACACAAAATGCTCGTCTCTTTGGGCTTTTCGAAGCCTCGCTTCGTCGGATTAAAAGTGCTCCTATAGCGCGAAAATCAAAAAATAAACCGGCAAATAAATATATATATATAAATAAAAGGTATTCAATTGGCAGCAATACGTGTATGTAACAGTTAATGAAATATAAATATAAATCGCTGATATTTGAAAATCGCGCGCAAACAAAAACCGCTCGATGCAAACATAAAATTTTCGATTAAACAAATACGTGTATATTATGCAAATTTAAATAATTAGCGCTGCAGTTCGAAAGCCCGTTTCAAAATACGAAAAGAAAAAAAAAACATGCGTGTGTAAAACCTAAAAAAAAAGGCTCTAATTTAACACCTAATACAAGCAAATAATATATAACAGTTCACGCACACCAACATAAACTAATACGCGACACACATGCAAACCTGAATAAGGCTTTCAAAAACTTTATCAGTTTCGCGCACCAATACCAGCAATCAGTTACCAACACACACACAGAAAGACATTTATAAATAACACGCACACAACGACAGCAGCTGTTACTCTCTCGTCTATGTGAGCAGCGATTAAACTTGAAGCAGCGATAGCAGAAAAAAAAGCAAAAAACCGAAAAAGAAATATTAGCAAAGCTTTGCAGCGATTTTTACACTCAGCGGCTAAACAGAATAAATCTGTAGCGCGTCTGGAATAGTTGTGTCTCACGGTGTCTTCAGCAAAAGCTTTAAAAAAATATTAAATATATATTTATATATATAAAATATATTAAAAGTATCTGAGCTAATTGTGTTTGATAAAAGTGTGGAATAGTGTTGTAAAACAAATGCAACAGTTAATTGCTAAATTTGTCAAGAACTCTGTCCCATTGTCAAACTAACTGTTATAATGTGCGCCATCTGACAGTGTCAAACTAAAAAAAAAAAAAACAACAAATAATTCAAAAGGCTTACATAAGGTCATATAAGAAAATCAAAATATATAAGTGAAGTCGTACAAGTGCCAAAAACATTTGCTTTGCCGCATAATTAGAAATGTCAAATATCTGACACACAATAATTAAAGCTCACTCGACAAGCAGCAAAAGCTTTAATAACAGTTAATTCACGCAAAGTGCATTCAACACACAAGCTCGCTAGAATGTCAGCAGAAATCTGACAGCGGTTTAACAAACCAAAAGAACCAAACACCAAATCAAAACAAAAGCCGAAATTGAGGAGAAACGGACGCGTTTCGAAATCTCAAAAGAAAAAAGGAGGAAAGTTACAGAGAGGAGAAGAAGAAGAAGAAGCAGTAGAAGAAGAAGACCACAGCGACTGTTAACTGTGAACTGTTGTGCTGCATTGCTAACGCCCCGCCCCGTCCCCAACGTTCAGAAACTTAACGATAAATGGAGAAATCTGAAATACGACTGCAACGCATGTCAAATGTATATCAATCGCAATCGAGCTATATGTATTTGCGTAACAAAATGCTGTTAAAAATTGAAAACACCCTACTACGTAGCCATCGTCAGCGTGAGACAACCGGGATCAAGAAACTATATAATTCGTTTTTTGTGCTCTTCTAATTGCATCAAAGTTCTGAACGCCCGAAGAACGCACAACGTTAAAAACAAAAACAAAAACAAAACTATAGATATTATTTGGTTGTTAGTTGTATACAAAATCCAAGTGCTGTGCTAAGAGAAAACAAACAAAAAAATAAAAAAAAAAAACTAGTGTCATTTTTTCTTCTTTGTTGTCATAAACATTTCAAACAAAATGTTGACCTAAATACAATACATTAAAAAAAAACCCATTTAAAAACCCTCAACAATTCCCTTCTACTTCGAATAATTATTGTTTAAAAAAACAACAAATACCCTGCAAATATAAATAATATAATTTATAAGGCAAGAACTTGACAAAATTGCACGCGAAAACTCGAGGGGGGCTGCACCCTAGAAAACACCGTGTTTCTTAAGAGCTAGACGTGCGTACTAACGGTAATTGTGGACAATACCAGCAACAACAAATAACAACAATTAGCTATTAATACAAATTCCGTTAAAGTATAATAAACATTCTCGTGTGCATTGTAAAGAAGAAGAGTGTATCGAAAAGAATTGAAAAGGTAATTTATTTTTTAAACCGGATGGCGCTTTCGTTTCTATCGGTAAATTCCGGCCTGTTGGATATACAAAGCATATTTGATCCACAATATTTACAACAACAACAACAACAACAACAGCAACAATTGCAACTTCATTTGCCAACACAACAACAACAACAACGAGAAGAAGAAGAACAACAAACATTACGCACATCCACGAAATTTGATCTGAACATTTTCAACGATTTCGACCAAATGGAATTCAATAACAACAATTTGAATCGAAACCATAATCAGTATCCGAATAATAATAATAATAATAATAATAATAATAACAACAGTAATAATTGTAGCATCAATAACAATAACAACAACCACAATACCAACAACAACAACAACAACATACATACGCATCAGACTAACGGTGAAAATCTTAATCAGGTAAGTTATCAAATTTTTGAGAACTCGTAATATATACATATATATATATATATATATATAAGACGGCTGTTGTTGATAAAAAGGCTCAGGAAGTTGTGGCATTTGATATGGCTAATAAAATTCTTTATTAGTTATGAAATTCATTGTGCATTAGATGAGAACCTAATAGAATTGGCCTTTGGGATTCCTCAAATGTAATCATAGTATATATAATTTATATATATTCTATACTATTCATAATTAATTTCATTCGCGTTTCATGTTCTTGTAAGGAAAAATGGATTCTCCAGAAATTTCGTTTTTATGTAAGCAAGAATAAATTCTGTAACAATTTCTCTAGTAATTTTTTAGGTTCAAATCTTATTTTTAATTTGTGCTTAATTTTATAATTTAGATGAATTTCTCAGGGCTTTGTATTAAAAAAAAAAAAAAAAAACAAAGAACTGTTCACATCTAAGTTTCTTGGGCTTTGATTCAAGAGAATTAGGGGGAAATTATATGTCATTCATTATGTATTCATATTTTTTTCTTTGTGCTCAATTTGCTAAAATTATTATGATGTACATCGAGTATATATCGAAGAATTTATATTATTGCCTTTTTTTTTTACAAAATCTTCTGCACAATCTGAAACTATAAAGTATCTTTCTCTCAAATATTGAGAGTATCGCTAAAATAAAATTGTATCTAGAAGTGTTTTTCTGACGCTAAAAAAAATCAATTTATACAAATTTCTCAAAAAATTCAGCATAAAATTCAAGGTCCTAGAAGTGTCACTTCATCAAATATGCATGAGTTCTCTATTTATTTGATTACATATTTCATTATGTAGTATTTGTTGTGCCACCCTTAATTGGAACTTATGCCTATACAAACGGTGTATATTACGCCGTGTGCGGCTGTATGTGTGTGTGTGTGTGTGTCTGTGTGTGTAAATACATTAAATTAGAATAGAATTGGTATCAAATAACAAATTGACTGGCACAGACAGGTAAATAGACAAACAAATGCATATAGCAACATTGAATGCGAATGTTACGTAACTTAGTTAACTTGTTCGACTTTAGATTGCCTCTAACTAGCGGTTAGTACACAAGCTTACACGTGCCATGCGCATTCACCCATATTCCGCACGTGCTTCCATTTCCCTTCGTGAATGTTTCGCTTAAATGTAACAATTCTGAAGGAACGTAGATGTTAGAAAATCAGCTTTAGGTCAAGCGGATAAAATATTTATATTTATGTTTATTAGTAAATAGTAAATAAATTGCCATAGGCTTCCACCCATATTTCGCACGTGCTGTTTTCCCTCCGTGAATGTTTCACTATCAATATAACAATCCAGAAGTGAAATATATTTTATGAATGATGATGGATTTAAAATGCAACTGATATAAAATATGTAGGTAAAAAAAAATATTTTTATTATTATTATTATAATTATTATTAATTTTTTGAAAAACTGAAAATAAATTTGAAATTACGCTCGACTCCCAGACTCTTAGACTATTTCAAAAAATATTAGGCACTGCTTCAATTAACTTTAAGATAGATTTCTTCAACCGAACTTTAAACTGGGCAGATAAAATAACACTAACGGATACCCATGTTCTACCAATCCTTCTTGCTTGGCGCAGACGTGCTTCCACAACTCCGTCCTTAAATCCGAAGAGTATTGTCAAAAATGCAACTGCCTAGCTTTAACAGCTTAAGCTGCGCATGGGTACAGCTATCATTCAGTCAGTCGGTCAGTCAATCAATCAGTCAATCAGTCGACACAAACAGTTTTCATATGCATAGATTCAGAGGAAGTAAAAAATATCTACAAACTGACGACTTTCTTATTCGCCGCTTATCGAAGCCTTCATATACGAAACTCATACGACAGGTCGCCTCTTGTGGCTATTATTTACACTGTACGCTTATCTTTTGAGAACGCAATAAAACGAACTGAAATTCACACAAACACACACACACACACACACACACATCCACAGAGGCAGAGACAACACAGATACAAAACGCGGCGGCGTAAACAAATGAAATCTCAAGCACTCAATCCGTAAATATATACATATATAAAGCGATTTGCAATCAATCGATTCTAGAAAAGTGTGACTTTCCGATTTTCTTAACTCTCACTTAAAAAAAAATGAAAAAAAAATACAAGCCTATGTACAGTGTACACACGCACACACACAGCTGCAACAATTGAGCATTTGTTAGGCACAAAAATACGCTCAAGTCCACTTTAGTAGAACATTTATTATCAGCAAGGTTTAGGACCTGGGCGATAATGCGCCTGGCTGCCTCGACTCTCATGCTAGACTAGATTTCGAAAAAAAAAAAAAACACATTCAGTTTTCGAAACGTTAATCGTAGGCCGAGTACTTGAAATGTTGCCCAGAGACTGCGAGCTGATAGTTACATGATGCGAAATCGACAACTTTCCTCCTAATCCCAAATGTTTATTCTTTTCGTTTTTGCTTATAGATCCAAAATAGTCATTTTATTAGCGGCTATCATCATCAGCACATTGGATCGGATTATGAGCCAGTGATTAACTTTGTTGATTCACCACCGAACTCTGAGGAATCTTGGACAGGTAAGAGAGAGAATTTTGCATAGACACATAGCGTCAATATATTCAAACTCAACGTGAGACTCATCGCATCCATCAAAAGCAACACAATCGCATTCGCAATCGCAATCGCATTCGCATTCGTTAATTGGCTAATCGATACGTTTCGATTCGATTTCGGTTCGTATTACTGCAGACGCACAGTCCAAGGATTCGCCAGGACCCCAAATAATCGACGTGAGGACAATTTACTCAGACAGTGGCTCGCGCAAAAGACGAATGGATTGGTACTCATTGGACATCGGTCAAAGTGAAAATTCACCGACAACACAGTCCGGCGATATACCCAATAAGGTGGCACATCAGGAGAAGGATAAGCACAAACGTGAAAAGCATTCAGGTGAGAAACCCAAGATCAAAAAACTTAAAGCTACAAATATACTGTAAATATAAAGGAAATTGAATTTCGTGAGTTAAGACCATAAATCGCTTTGCTCTTGGCAAAAGTTATGGCCAAACTATGAGGCCAATCAGTATTATCATTATCTATAAAAAAAAGAAGTAAATTAACAACGATTGGAAACCAGTTTCTGGTATTGCGATTTGGCGGCGATCTTAATTAGCGGGCGGTTATACGCATGGATATAATAAGAATGAAGTTCTCTCGATCTCTGCCATCTATGTAGAGCCTATTGCTACGGGCCTCTCAAATCTTGAGCACATTTTAATGTGTCATGCACTTATAGCCAATGCGAATGTGTTAATTGTTTAACAAACAAAATATTATATTTGCTAATTAATCGATATCTATGAAATATACGAGTTCTCACTTGTCTGTCTGTCTATCTGTCTGTGTCTGTGCACGTCATAAAATTGATTTTTATTGCCCATATCGTGAGCTAACATTTAAATTTTAATTTAGTTCGTTGTGTAGCGTCCACATAAAGTCAAGAAATCTACTAGAAACTTAGAAAAATTGTTAATATAATATTTAATTTATGGAGGCTTAGGAATACCGAACAAATATTTGCATATGAAAGAAACGTTAAAGTATGAAGAGCTTCCGCATGCCGAAGATTTAATACTCTTGAAAATATTTGATATATTCTATGAACATATAAGACCAAGAGACTAGTTTGCATTCAAACAGACAGACAGACAGGGCTTTATCAAGTCAGCTGTTGATGCTTATCCAGAATATATATACTTTATGGGGTCAGAGATGTCGCCTTCTATGCGTTAGTCATGTTTAATTAATTAATGAATTACCATTTCTAATAGTTATTTCTAAGTATATATAAAGTTTTAAGAAATGATATTAAAAACTATGACACATCCGAAAATATCATAGACTAATCTTAATACTAATACTACATAAATAATTACTAGGATATTTTAGATTTTGTATATATACGACATATAAATAAATAGAAGAATTTTTATTTGGAACGAGTTATCGTCTAGGGTCTTACAAAATGTATGTAAATAAAACCGAATATGTATATAATAATATAATGATATGACAATGATAATAATAATAATAATGATAATAATTATAATGGTTAAAAGCTGAGAAAAAAATTTGTATTGTAAGCTTAGAGATGGAAAATACTATCTTAATATTTTCAAATTCCAAAACTTCTTGCACAACTTTAAAGTATAGATTAAAAGTCTCTTGAAATATTATTGTTTATAATATCTAATAAAAACTGTAATTAACTTAACACATATGTGCAAGACATGGCGTTAAATGCTTGAAAACTGTAAGAATATAACAAGCTTCGCTGATGAACCATAAAGTCTATAATTTTATAGCTTTATAGAGCTTATATTTAAAAAAAAATAAATGCGGCGCCAAACACGCCCACAACGCCAAAAGACGGTGCTACAAAATATATTATATTAAACTAAGTAAAAGCTAAAATATAAATCAAAATGGGGCAGACAAAGTATTTCTAGAATTCAGTTGGAGAGATTACAATTTGCCAAAATCACGCAAAGCCCGACTACAATTGCCATTGGCCTAATTACAAAGCTGATATTGAGAGTGAGGGACACGGCCATATAATTTTAACTCTTTTTTTTTTTGTGAATAAAGCCAAGCTAGACGTGCGCCTATCGCGCTGCTCGTGATGGCTTATCAAGAAATGTGAAATCAACAGAACCATTGCCGGCAGATAAGGGCCGCAAAATTGTCGACGTTTTGTCGAACCGGCAATTAATGCCATTTTCATTTTCGTTCAAACAACAGAAAATTGCTTTTAATCACATTTTCACTTGTCTCATTAGTTTTTTTCGGAAAAAGTTTTCAGCAATTAGCCGAGTGCATGGAAATATTTAATGAACAGCACATTATAATTAAGTCTCTAGAAGATATATCGTATTTACATTAAGTTTATATAACGCCAGTTGCTTAATGTTTTTTCAATTATTTTTAAGTTCCATTTCGATCTAGCCTAGGCTTAGCTCTTGAATTGATCTTGGATTGTTATTGAGGCAATTGCAGTAAAACAATTTCCTCTTTTATTGTTGAAAAAATAACAAGCTTAAATAAATACGAAATCGATCCCATCTATATACCCTGTAAAAACTTACGTCAAAAGTGCGCTCAGTAAAGTCACATGTTTTGTCTAAGCGCAACATACCCACTTAGCTGGACTAAGGGGTATCTCAACAGTAATCATATCTGATAGACAATATCTGAACGCAACGTGTTTCAATCGAAGTACTCGTAACTACAACAAATAATTTATCATTATGTGCGTCATTAGGCACTGCATAAACTGACACACACTTAAAATTATGCTTTCAGCTCTCATTCAAAATAATCTTAAATAGTATATATATATATATATATATATATATATATATAGCTTCACAGGAACTACAAGCTGGAGCAGTTAAATGTATATTTAACTGTGTATACTAGATGTTTATAATTTATACATTTCTTTAATGTATATAGCAGTATGTGTTGAGGGAAGCAAAGATCGTTACTCATTGCATATTTTACACAATTGTTTTAATTAGCTTCATTCAGATAGACAGAAAGATATATAGATATAGATAGAGCAAGGAAATACGAAAAGGCCAAAACGCATTAGTAATAGCAGAATTTCAACTATTAAAAGTACAATTAAAAATTTAGAGATAACAATGAATTTGATATAAAAAATAATTATTGTGTTATTTGGAGATTAAAACAATTTATTTTAGAAAGAAAAATATTTATAAATTTTAATATTATTATATAGAAAATTATTTTAGTTTATAAAATACTTTTAATTATAAAAATGATTATCAAAATATTATTTTTAGATAAAAATGATTTATAATTATTTAAAAAAAAATTTTTTTAGTAAAAAAAGTATTTATATTTATTAAGATTATAATATAAATAGTAATTTTATTGAAAAAATGTTTGTTTTTAGAAAAAGATAATTAATAATTGATAATTATTAATTATTCTTTATCAGAGCAAACCTTAAATTCTAGACGTTTGAGGAACATTTTGCTTTAATTCACATTACGCGAAAAGGGGCTTAAATGACGAAACATTTTACAATATATTCAAAAGATATTTCTCTAATTATCTATAGACATTTATACATGTAAAACTTGAGTAAACAAACCAGTTTTTTCTCTTTCTCTCTCCCTCACTCTTTTATTACCTGATCTTTACAGGTCGCAACAGCTGGAGCGACGATATAGGTTTTGATCTGAACGCCGAGTTCAACAGCAACTCATATTTGAACAAGTGAGTGTGAATAGATAGATATAGACAGCAGCCGGCAGTTGCTGTGATTGCGAATGCCAATTGGTCAACTAAATGTATTTGCAGTGAAAACTTTTTATCGTTCTCCCCGAGCCTGACGGCGCTCAAGCAGGAGCCGCAAACGGAGCAGCTCAAACCGAATACAAAGATATCCTTGGACAGCGGCAGCAACAACAACAACAACAATAACAACAACAGCAGCTCCGGCATTGGCAAGAGCGACAAATCTCCATTGGGCGAGGCCAATCATTCACCACAGCGCACGGGCCAGGATTCGGGAGTTGGCGCAGCTGGCGGCAGTGGCAAGCATGAGTTGAACGCCGGCATCATTTGCGGCTGTGGCACGCCGCAAGGCTCGCCCGCCGCAACGGATTTTGAATTGAACGGCAATGCCAATGGGAATGAAGCAACGGCTGAGAAAAGCTATACACAGGCGCGTAAGTAGAAGTCCAAACCAGAGTGCATAGAGCTCTTCGTATATATATATATAATTATACCTATATGTCTATATAATTGCATAAATTGATAAATTGCAGCGCGCTCTGGACTGCAGCAGCAGCTGAGCCTTGTCGAGGCAGCCAAAATTGAGCCCAGCTCGTCCGGCGGTGCGTCCCATGGAGAGGATCATAAGTAAGTGCAAAAATATATAATATTTGACCTCCATATTTGTAAATCTGAGTTTAAGCAGCTAGTCTTAAGCATGTGTATTTAGTGTACAATCATATATCTAATTTTAACTCGGAGCGGAAAATGTTTCTTATCTCAGATATCATCTAGTGCTATTTTTATGTCCCACTTTATCTTGAATAGAGAAGAGGAAAACCGTTGTTTTCCATTTACTTAGTATAAATTCGTGTAAGTCAACGTAACAACTGGAACAAATTTGTGTATCTGATTAGATTCTATTTTAAAATGTTTTATTGTATTATAATTTAATATATGTTATTATAATACATTAAATTGTAAATTGACATATGTGCTGCGTGCAACAGAAAGAGGGACTTCTGCAAAGTTTCATTAAGATAGCTTTAAAACTGAGAGACTAGTTCGCATAGAAACAGACAGACGGACAGACGGACATGGCTATATCGACTCGGCTTCAACACAACACCATTGAATTTTTGATATTTTCCTTAGCAGAGTCCTTAAAAGCTTTTTTTTTCAATTCCCTCAAAGAATATTCGAATATTATTTTCTCGTTATATACAATAAATTTAGCTTTAACACTCGGGAAACTTTCTTTTGATTTCTATTTGCAGATTTCAGTACATTTTGGCAGCGGCCACCTCCATTGCGACGAAGAACAATGAGGAGACTTTGACCTATCTGAATCAGGGTCAAAGCTATGAGATCAAATTGAAGAAAATTGGTGACTTGTCTTTCTATCGGGATAAGATTTTGAAGGTGAGTGAAAAGACATGATCGAAAATCCTTATAGAAGTATTTCAGATAAATCCAGAACTGTCAGCTCTCTCTCTCTCTCTGTCCCATTGAGTTCAAACTAATTTGCAAAAAAAAAAAAGAATAAATTTGGTTTAAATTGACTGAGTTATTGTTTTGGTTGTTTCTATTAAGACTATATAGAAACTCTGCTTGTTGCTATACGTGAATGATTGTTGTTCGGGCTGAGGTCAGCTCCAGATGTGCCTCGGCTTATATTGAAATATATATATATGTGTGTGTGTGTGTGCGTGTGTTTGCATGTTAATTGATTTTAATATGCCCCAATTAAACTTAATTTGTACGCAAAACAACTTGAGGCATGCGCAGGCGCAATGTCTCATGTGGCAATCAGACAATCTTCTGCATCTTTAAGTCTGTCATTTTGCTCATCTTTTGATACCCTAAAATTAAATGGGTAGAAAGGGCAATATGGTCCAGTCGCAGGCAGAAGGAAGCATCTCTGACCTGATCAGCACGTTAAGCTAAGTCGTTCTAGTCAAGTCCTTTTGTCTAAAAGCAGCGATCTTTATGACCACAAAACCTAGAGACTTCCATATACATATTCTCCTATACCATACATAAAATGAGTTTATATTTCAATGGATATCTTGTCCAAATTTTTGTAATATCGATAACTATAAGAGCTAACTACACCAAATTTGGTATATAAACTCTAGTATAGTACACAAAGATAAGGAATATTTCACATTTTGGATACCTCCTCTCCAATCTCATTAAAATGGGACAAAAGCTCATTTGAGCTTTGGTTTATAAACACTTTTGTATGTCATATTTAACCACTGCAAATTTTATAAAGATCGGACCATAAACAACCAAGTTAATCAAGATGTGTTTTTCATAAGGATATGTAAGCATAAAAGGAAGCTGAAATGTTTGCAAAGGCAGCTACAGACCTGGCTCAGGGTATTTGCTGGTCGGAAACACCCGACTAGAGACGCTAGTTTGCATGATTTTTGGATGAAATTGAACTATGTATTTGCACAATTGTGCACTTCCTTTGCAGAGCGTTATCAAAATCTGTTTCCATGAGCGCCGTCTGCAGTTTATGGAACGCGAACAGATGCAGCAATGGCAGGCATCGCGTCCTGGCGATCGCATTATTGAGGTGGACGTGCCATTGTCGTATGGCCTGTGCCACGTGTCGCAGCCATTGAGTTCGAATGGCTTGAATACGGTGGAAATATTTTGGGACCCATTGAAGGAGGTCGGTGTTTACATCAAGGTCAATTGCATTTCAACCGAGTTTACACCAAAGAAGCACGGTGGAGAAAAGGGTGTACCGTTTCGACTACAAATTGAAACCTATATAGAAAATACAACAACAACAACAACAGCAACAGCAACAACAACAACGACAGCAACAACAATAAATTGCGGCAACAGCAGCTCGAGCAGCAGCAGCAACAGTAGCAGCAGCAGCAGCAGCAACAGTGCCGCGGGCAATAACAACAACAATACCGCTGGCAATATAACTATCAACAACAACAACAACAACAACGCATCTGCCGGCACTTCGCCTTGCCCCACGGACAATCGGAATGTGAACAGCGGCAGTATTGCCGGCCTGGCCACACTCAATGGCAAACAAGCGGTGCACGCAGCTGCCTGCCAGATTAAGGTGAGGCCACAATTTGTGGCAACAAGTGTGCCTGGCCAAAAGTATTAATCGCTTGCCCCACTCAACTGCAGGTCTTCAAGCTGAAAGGCGCCGATCGCAAGCACAAACAGGATCGCGAAAAGATACAGAAGCGTCCGCAATCGGAGCAGGAGAAGTTCCAGCCCAGCTACGAGTGCACCATTATGAATGATATATCATTGGATCTGATACCGCCAGCGACCACAACTGGCTGCTACAGTCCCGAGTAGTAAGTAGCAAGTTCTTACTAAGATATATTCTCTATATAATCAATTATGCTCAAAAAAAAAATATATATATATATTTGTTATGCTGTGTGTAATCAGTATTATTATCAAGAATCTTGCAAACTCTTTTAAGGATCTGTTTATTTATAATCCAGTTATAGTATGTTTATATAAATTCTGAAACTGATCTAGCTGAAGCTCAACAGATTAATATCTTATAAATAAGCTAAGCTTTAAAAACACAACAATCTTTATTTGATCCTTATAATAATAATACAAATATTAAAAGACTTGAGGATCTAAGGATTTATTGATCAGTTATTATAAGGAAAACATTTGAAGAGATCGGTTTCCTTAGATATTTAGAATAGGCGAGCAGTTAATCAATCAGTTTTTGGTGAGCTTATTTAAATACAATTAATTTGTTGTTTTGCTGGCAGATCGGTTCAAGTCGAACGGTCTACCAATTGGCGTCTTTTCTCACTCCAATAATTCCGCGCAAATTTCTGTCAATTCTTATTATATAGTACATAGATAAATTAATATAGACTGTTTTGTTTTGTTAGATGTACAAGGTTTTTATTTATGGGGCTGTGGACGTCGGCCCACGATAATTTAGTTTTTGATTTATATATGGGGCTTAGAGCGCGCTTTGAGTTATGAAAGACAGTTTTACAGATAAATACCAAGTACTATACGATACCACGATAAGCTAGTTTTTGAGTTTGCATAACACAAGTCCAGGTGTCTATATGCATATGAACATGTGTGTGTGTGTGTGTGTGTATTAAATGCCTTCATTTCCATATACAAATATTTGTTTGCGTAGTTCAATGAGCACTCAACTATTTTATGGCATTTTTTCTTAGCTATTTTTTAAATATCGAGATCTATCGTTGATTGAGAAATGGGAATTACTTTGTATATAGCCTATAGATCGGAAACGAGTTTGCGCTTTGTTTTTTTTTTATATATTTGCAATCTCTCTCTCTCTCTCTCTCTCTCTCTCTCTCTCTCTCTCTCTCTCGCTCTCCCTCCCCCCCCCCCTCTCTCTCTCGCTCTCGCTCTCCCCCCTCCCCCTCTCTTTCTCTCTCTTTCTCTCTCTCTCTCTCTCTCTTTATCTTTCTCTTATATACGGCAGGATGTTTTCTCTTTGCAGACGAAGAGAAGACTTAAGAGCATATTTTTTGTAAGTTTTCGATTCCCTGTAATTGCTTATCTCTCGTTAGGTTATCCGAACCGGATTTTTGTTTTGCGTACAAATCAATAAAATAACAAACACTTGTAGTTATTTATAGTGTAGAAATGTATAGCTTTCAACCGGTTGTAATACCCTGTATAAGGGTGAGGGTTGGGGTATATTGACTGAGCAAACATTCAGAAGGTATTTTAACTCATTATTATAAGACATTGAATTGGGAATTATAATTTATTTACAATTAAATAACAATTATTGTAAGCAAATTTTTAATTTAAATTAATTAACATCTGTCCAACAAAAGAATAAGTTACTTATTAATTATTAATTTAACTTATTAGGACTGGGTATAACTTAGTCATGCAATCGAATTGTATTATTTGTTTTTACTTAGAATTCTTTTTGCAACAAGTTATAAGCTCTTACGCTCCACTTGAGCAGTAACATGGGCGTGGTAAGAAAGGGATGCCGAAAGCATGAAGAAGAAAAACAACCTCACATAGAGCATCTCGTTGGGTTCGGCTTTAAATCTAATTAGACAACTGCAAGAACTTTGCCAACATAAAACTTTAGCATATGCAAAACATGGCCTAAAGCCTGAAGGTCAGAAAGCAATATAAAATATGGTTAGCTGACTGAGCAGATGTTTATATAATTTAATCAAGCACAGCAAAACGTATCGGATGTCGAGGTAGATAATATATGACATATGGCGAATGCATGATGAAACCAGTCCAAAAGTCAATGCAAGCATAAACTGTGCTAAAAGAGAGGCAGAGAGTGAGAGAGAGAGAGAGAGGGAGAGAAAACAGACTGTGTATATATACGCATGTATTTTTGTATCTGTAAAATCTGTGTATCTGTTGGCTTGTTTCATTTGTGAACATGCGCTTGTATCTGAAGGATCACGCCTGTCGTAGCCACAACAACTATTATCAACACTGCATTTGTATTGTCAATTGAATATTATATTTACCAAAATACTAAACTATTTTCTGTGGTTTTATTACAGTATGAAATTGTGGCCAAATTCGCCGGTGCATATACCAAAATATGATGGAATGCTGCCATTCACCAGCAGCGCATCACCGGCGGCCAGCAGCAGCCCCATTGCGATCAATTCAGTGACATCGACCAATTCGCCAACATTGAAACCAATGGACGCCACAAATATGGTATCGCCGCAGCATGTGCCAGCCGATATGGACGATTATGTATGCCATATATACACACATTATGCCACAACTAGTGTAATCTAATTTTACTTTTGTTTTTATTGCATTTTTCTTGCATAGAATCAGAACATAATGCCAGAATCAACGCCCGCACAAGTGACACAGTGGCTGACAAATCATCGTCTGACGGCCTACCTCACCACATTTGCCCATTTCTCGGGCGCGGATATTATGCGGTGAGCGTAGCGCTCACTTTAGAGAGCCTTTTTTCTATATCCATATAATTTTGTGGATGTCAGCTTATTCCCTTACTCTACAACGCATTCTCTTTCTATATTTAGCATGTCCAAGGAAGATCTAATACAAATCTGTGGACTTGCCGATGGCATACGCATGTTTAATATATTGCGCGCCAAGTAAGTTCGAACTGTAAAATATTATGTTACTTTGGATTAATCTTGTAAGTGTGTTGTATACGGTTCTATAAGGAGCTTTACTGGCAAAGCTTTATTTTACGCAATTTTCTTGAACTGAAGGCTTGTTTTAACTAAGAGCTTACAAAAACTGCTTATAGAATGAGATAAAAAGCTTAATTCTAACCAAAACTAATTGCAAAGCGTTTTATAAGAATATACTTAATTTAAGCTTTAAACCTATTGACAATAAGTATTATGCAAATAGTTTTAAGCTTCATGTTAGGATATATATCATCGAAATAAATAATTAACTAAAGCTTAATGTCGTTAATAAGCTTGACAGTAAACTTAAAGATAAAGCTATTTAAAGTTCATTTAAAGCTTAAATCATAAAACAGAGCTCTTAAATCCCATAAAAACTTTTAAGTGAATATTTAACTCAAGCGTATAGCTTAAATCTCAAAGCTCAACCTATTACTTGTGCTTTCAGCTTATGTAAAGCTCATTAATATTAACCGCACATCCTGAAAGCTTCATAGTTAAATAGTTAATTCATATAAGTTCAAAGCTTTCTTAAGAAGCGCCCCTGACTCCAACCTGTTGGCCTTCTCAAGGCTCTAGTTCCTGTACTGCACTCAAGATTAATCCATCGAAACTTTCAGCTATTGTCATTTTGATATAAACAATAAAAACATTTGCTTATTCTTCTAATTTCTCTTACAGGACCATTGCGCCACGTCTGACGCTCTATGCCAGCATGGATGGCTGCAGCTACAATGCCATCTACTTACTGTCCAACACGGCCAAGGAGCTGCAGCAGAAGATCTACAAGCTGCCCGGTTTCTATGAGTTCATGGCCAAGGGCGGCTCTGCAGGCGCCTTGGAGAATGGTGGGGGTGTTGCAGCCGCGGCGGCTGCTGCAGCAGTGCTCTACAACAATTGGGGCATGCATTCAAAATACTCGGGCAGCGGCTCCAATATATTCAACGAGGCGAACAAGAGTTGCGTATATATATCGGGTCCATCCGGCATACATGTCTGCGTCAGCGATGAGGTGCTCAACAACGAGGTCAAGGACGGCAGTCTCTATGCCCTGGACGTGCAGGGCGGCAAAGTTATAATGAAATTGATCAATAAGCAGGATAACAATTGAATAATTGCTTATCTAAACTTGTTAATTAAACAAAATACGATTATTAATTGCCTGCACCAAGCAAAACCTTGAAGGAAAAGTATAGTTTTTAGCATTTATACTATATCAATTGTAACACATGCGTATTAGAGTTATATCACACAAACACACATATATGCATATATATATATATATATATGTATATATATATATTTCTATTTCTATATAAGTTTCAATTTGTATGAGATTTCGCGCAGCAATTTTGAACAAGTTACCACATTTACCTACCAACATTATGTCCCATGCTTAAAGTTCTGGATATATTCGAATTTCTTTGAGTTCCATTTCCTTTCAATTATGTTTTGTCTGAGTTTTAACGATTTTTTGTTGAATTTTTTATTTGATCCGAAACATTTCTATATTTGCATAGCATTTTGTATTTGATTTCGTTTTTATTTTTATTTTCTTATGCTACATGTTTAATGTTGTAAGCTTTATTATTTTACCCTTACGTATGTAACACTTTTATATATGTACACACTATATACCACATACATATAGCAAAGATATATATGAAGCAGTTGCAAGCAATTGAAGTAGAAGAAAAAAACACAAACTCACAACGAAAAAAAATTTATTATTATTTAGCAACACGATAATTACAACAAAGTACAGTACCACAAGATCGAACATTGAACAACAAATGTCGGATGAAAGAGTTCAGCTAACAACCAAACAACATCTATTGTTTTAACAAAGTTTATCCAATTGTATGTGATAAAAGCAATAAAGTGTTATCCAAGAGTGGACTGTCGACAAAAAAATTGTATAGAACTTCATAATTTATCGGTTTGGCTCATTGTTCATGGTTTGACCTCTAGATCTATCACATACACATATCAAAGATAAATCTGGCAACATTATTCTTGGTCAAAATTATTGTAAAAATATTTCTCTCAAATATCCTATATAGACATATGTAGGTCAAAATTTGCCAGCCCTGTAACTCGGTCAAATCTCATCAGATGTTCACGAGGTTTGGCTCTTTGTTCATATTTTGACCTCTAGATCAATCGGGCATCTAAATCTGGCAACATTATTCTTGGTCAAAATGAATGTAAAAATATTACTCTCAAATATCCTATATAAACCCTCCCATTACTCATCAGATTTTATCAAATCTCATCAGACTTTAGCAGCATGCCTTTAAAAGTTTTCGATTAAATTAAAAAAATGTGACCACATTTGAAACAGAGATGCCTTCGACTAGTGTTGAATTAAATTTCTGGCATTTGACAACACTTTCGGTGCGGGGAAGTACCCCAAAGTGCTTTGATTAGAGAAATTATTATATTTGTTTGTTAAATTTATGGAAACTAGTTAAGTAATCAAAATTTCATTTAGGCTAATTTAGATATGAAATACTTGGCAGTTATATTAATATTGCTGCTGAGCGTGCTGGGTAATTAGATTATATAGGGACTATATATATTTGATCAAATTGTAATGCTAATTGTTAGGGCAGGCAGTCAGGCTGATTGTCAAATAACTAGGCACATGGTGGAAAATACAAACCGCATATTCACCTACCGGGATGAGAGTGGCGCCCTTCAGCTGTTGCGCACAGAACGAGTGCCCAGCGGCATGCGGTTTTACATGTACTGCAGCGTTTCGGATGTGCTGGTGACCCAATGCCAGGACAACGGGCAGTTTACGTTGGCGCTGCCCATGAGCTGTGCCACGCCCATGCGTTCAACTGTAGCGAAAAGCCGCGACGCTGCATGCCCCCAGACGCTGTATATAGTGGGCTATTCGCTGGAGGGCAAACAGCTGGAGCTCTTTCGCTCCTGCCATGATGGCCAGGAGGGGCGGGTGCTGTACGCAGAGAGCGATGTCTACTACAAGAGCTTCTGTAAGACTTCTGATCAAAGCAATTAAAATCTGCAGCCTTAGCCAAAGTCTTTCCGCAGTCGCCAAGCGGCCGTGGGTGGAATTCGAGACGGATCAGATAGTCACACCTGCGGAGGCGGCTGCCTATATGAAGCGTAATACCCATGATGCATTCAATTGTATTTTTGGCGACAATCAACAATATTTGCCCAGTCCAAGCGATCTGGTTATCAATCGCGGCCATTTGGTGGCATCCGCCGACTTTCTGTTTTGCGATCAAATGGGCAGCACCTTTCGCTATCTGAACGTGGTGCCACAATTCAAGAGCATTAATGATGGCAACTGGGAGAAAATAGAGCGCTGGCTGCGCAGCCAGGTGCCCGCCGAGAGGCCGTTCCGCATTAAGACCGGTGGCATCGATGTGCTCACGCTCCAGGATGTGCATGGCGACGAGCGCAGCGCCTACCTGTCCGGCTCCAAGCTGCCGGTGCCCCTATGGATCTATAAGACTGTGCGAGACATCAATGGCAACGGCATCTATGTGTTTCTCTCGTACAACAACAAATTCGAGCTCGATCGACCGGAAGTCCTGCAGAGTTGCCAGAGCGTCGCGTGTCCTCTTAGTCTGCCGGACAATCCCAGGGATGGTTTCATATTTTGCTGTAATCCGGACAACTTTCCATACTAAGACAAATGCAAAAATTGCTTTTGGTTCTGGCAGACAATTTACCAACAACTCTTGCTAAAGGTAAGTCGAAATATTTAAAACAAGTTTTTTTTTTTTTAATAATTGATTTTCCATGTTTCACCTTCCCCTTTCCACAACTGTATTAATACTTTATAGGTTTATTTGTTCACTGAATGCGCCTTATTTTAATTTTTCAGAATTTGTTTTTTAACATTTTCCAGCAAAAATATATCAATAATTTTGCAAATAAATAATCTTTAGATATTTTAATGCATCAAATTATTATTATTTAATTATTATATTTTTCTTTTGACCATTACGGGAGGTATTGTAATTATTTTTATTGTTAGTATTTAATTTTATTATTATTATTATTTTTATTAGGATTATCATTATTATAATTACAATTATTATTAATAATATTATCATTATTAATGTTATTATTAGTACAATTATTATTGTTATTAGCATTTTTTGTTATTGAGTTTTATTATTATCATTAGAAGTATTATGATTGTTTTTCTTATTTTTTTAATAGTATTCTTTTCTATATAATTTACTTATTTTTTTCTATGTTTTTATTTTTAAATTTCTGACCCATTGCAAAAGTTTTTTCTATCTACTTTTTCCAAAAAGATTTTCTTATATAACATCTTGATTTTTCTTATATTGCTTTTCGGATACTTTCCTTAAATACGCAGACAAAATGTACATTTTTGTAATAAAATTATAAATGAAAATCGTTTTGTCCTTTTGCCCATTAAAAATGCACTTTGAATAATTTAGTATATTTACTTAACGGTCCTTAGCTTATTAGACAACAGTCAGCGATTAGTGAAAGTCGCATGCACTGCTCAAAATAGTAGACTACGTTGTCCATACGTGTTTTTTGAAATTTTTTAAATTTTAACATAAATTTTTGGGAATTCGAACCAACAAATTTAAATATGAATTAAATCGATGAACAAATTTGTAGTTTCATTATTATTTTCAGTATTTTATTTATTTTAAGAAAGTCAAAGGAGAAATTGTCAAGTACAACATCTGACTCTTTTTTATTTTAATTTGGCAAAACTTTAAATTTCTCATATTTCATAATTATATTTTATAATTGCTGACTCCTTGATTCTTTTGGTGCCCAAAGTTATGTTCAATGAATTCATTTAAATTTAATACCAATTAATGTCCTTTAACGAGTTTTTAATTGTCTACGCAATGCCCTTAAAAGGCCTAGTCCATCTCAGGACCCACAATAGTTACAGCCCGAGCTTGCTACGAAATGAATCTTACTTTTGATAGGTCTGTGGAGGTGTTTTACACGGGTCAGAAGCGCATTTTGGGCTGGTATTCGATCTGGCCACAGCAGGTGCGCTGGAAACGTGTGCTGCACGGGATAAATTTCTGGTTTGTTTTCGGCTTCTGGATGATGACCTTCAATTTCATGTTTGTGATGTACATTGGAATCAATATACGGCATATGAGCGAGGTAATGAAGGGTTTCTTTTTGCTGGCCACAAGCGTTGGCTACTCTATAAAGGTAAATTGTTTAAGATTCGTACAACAGCTGCCTAAAACTCTGTTTTATTTTCAGCTATTCTCCTTTAAGTCTAATAACGTGGCCCTGCTCCAGATCGTTGCCAATCTACACGATCCACTATTCCGACCGGAAAAGCCGGAGGAGCAGCAAATTTTTGTGGCCGCCAGGGAATTGAGTCGTACTGTCCGTAATTCTTATGGAACTTTTTCGTTGTGTACTTTAAGTACAATGCTCCTTACTTCATATATCATCGATAATAGCGAGCTACCTCTGGTTAGCTATGATCCTTTCAATGGAGCACCCGGCTCCATTGGGTACTGCCTCATGTACATTTATCAATGTATTTCGCTCTCGACCGGCTGCTTTATGAATATATCCGTTGATTCGCTGTGCTGTTCCATTTGTATATTTATTCGATGTCAATTAGATATTTTGGCATTACGACTGCAAAATATTGGCCACAATTGCGATCTGGAAGGCACAAAGAAAGGCGCCGAAATGGAGCGGCTGCTGAAGAATTGCATTCGCTACCATATGAAGATTGTCCAATTGGCAGCTGATACCGAGGCTTTGGTCAATAAACCCATATCGGCGCAAATATTCTGCTCTGTGCTGGTCCTAACTGCCAACTTCTATGCCATGACGCAGGTGAGTTGATAGAATAAGGGTCAAGAACTGTCAGAAAAAGAAAGAAAATAATTATAGAAATTTTGTAAACAAACTTCGATATTTTATTACAAAAAAACAAAAAATATATATAGTTCAAATAAAAGGTATAATATTACCAAAATATTGTTGAGAAGAATGTACTTGAACAGAAAATTTTCGATATTACAAAAAGCACATGAGTTTTTACAAAAAATACGTGTAATCAAAAAAAAGTTGATGTTTTTAAATTAAAAAGTTGTTTGCTTTGATATTAAAATTAGATTTCAAATTAAACATTTAACAAACATTTTTAGAATCAAAGTTCTTAGCTACATATATATTTGCCAAAACTATAAAATTAATTCGAATGAAATTATCTTATAAAATTTAAAAATATAAAGCTAATTAAATCTTTTAGTTAAAATCAAAATGATTTAATATCTAAATGTCTTTACAGCTATCCGACGAGAAGCTGTTCCTTTTGAAGATGGTAATTTACCAAGTCTGTATGCTCATGCAGATCTTTATATTATGCTACTTTGCGGGGTAAGTAACCCCCAATTATATAGAACATCCGATATCTAAGTATATACCAATTATATCAGTGAGATAACACAGCGCAGTCTGGGTCTGCCCCACGATCTGTACAGATCCGATTGGGTGGGTTGGCAGCGGTCCAATCGGCGGCTGCTGCTGATGCTGATGCAACGCCTGGATAATCCCATACGTATGAGGACAATAAATGCCAGCCATGCCTTTGACTTGGAGCTGTTCGGTTCGGTGAGTTGCAACTGTATTTTGCGCACTGTAAAATATTCCATAATGAGCGGCTCATTAGGGCTAATTAGCCTGCGTGTCCTTGCGTAAGCTGGCCGTATATAAGGCCTGCTAAAAGTGCAGCTGACCAAATAGTCATTGTTCGATAAAGTCTTGACATGATGCAGCAAGCGGAGCACCGCAAAATCACGGCGGCTTTCTACAAGTATCAGGTCTGGTACTTCAATATGTTGGGCATGTGGCGTCTGCACTTGGCTGCCACCTGGCAGCAGAACGTGTGGCATCAGCTGCGCTGCTGCCTCATGCTGGCCATTGTGTCCATTATGCTGCTCTTCTTTGCCATACGTGTGCTGGCCAACATAGATCAGCTGAGTGTCATACTGCAGGTATTCTTCATGTTTGCCACCGAGGTCTCCTGCATGTCCAAGCTGCTCAGCATTAAGCTGAAAAATGAACAGCATGCCCGGCTCATTGATGAAATGCACTCCTCGTGTTTTCGGCCCAGATCTGGCAAGGAGTCGCTGATCTATAGACGCGGCGTTCAGCGTACCGTCAAGTGGCGCAATCTATATGCATGGAGTTCCGTGCTGGCCGCCAGCCTAATACTGGTCACCCAATGGTTTGTGGATAACAATGCGCTGCCGCTGTCCATGTACGAGCCGTGCAATGTGGCCCGGCCGAGCTGCTTCTATGGACTGTATTTGTATCAGGTGTTGTCGCTGATGCCCTCCTGCTGGATAAATATTGCATTTGATTCCATATCCGGCTCGTTCTTATTCTTTCTGGAGACACAACTGGCCATGCTGGCAGCTCGGTTGGAGAGCCTGGGCGCGGTTGTTACCCCGCTGGATGATCAGCGCATTGCGCTGGAATTGCGTGATTGTTGCCTCCACTATGGACGTATCGTGCGGCTTAAGGATCTGGTGGATGGCTTTATAAAGGTGCCCGGTTCGGTGCAGATGCTCTGCTCGGTCCTGGTGCTTGTTTCCAACTTCTATGCCATTTCCATACGCACTCGAGAAACGGCTTTTATGATCATGATGGCCTCGTATCAGTTTGTGATGCTCCTGCAAATCTTCATCATATGCTATGGAGCCGACGAGATGAGCCATCAGAGTGCATTACTTTCCCACGCACTGTACAGCTCCGATTGGACCACTTGGAGCTGGAGTAATCGCAAAATGAGCCTGTTAATGATGCTGCGCTTTAATGCGCCGCTGCAGATGCACACCCTAAATCACTCACAGAGCTTTAATTCCACAACTTTTGCATCTGTATGAATAATGTGGTGTGCTTATTAATTAATCATATTACTAATAATCATTTTCGATTTACAGATTGTGAACTGCTCCTACAGCTACTTTGCTCTGCTCAAGCGTGTCAACAGTTAAATTTTGCGCCCAAAAATGTACGTTACTGCACACTACGCACGCGTTGCCATCAACAGTTATCGATTAACGATAAGCCTACCCCACGTTCGATGCTCAGCACTGCTTTAGTTTTTTGGAAATTTGAGGTCGTTGTCGTAGAATTGCAATAAATGCAGTAGAAACAATACGTTTTTACTCAATTTGGTAACGATAGTATCGATAGCCGTTGCTTGCGCTTTACAACACTAAGCATGTCATATCGTTCAGCTGATGCTCGTTCTTTAGTTTCGCGTCGTGCTATGTGTAAAAAGTTAAAATGTCGGAGAATTCGAATAAAAGCAACGAAAATGGGCCTAGCTGCCTGCATTGCAGTGCGTACAATTCAAAGCAACAATATCAGGAAATATTCGATGAAGTGGGCATCGAAATTGAGCTCGCCGACCTGCTGGCCAAATATTTCCAAATAGTTGTCAAGCCAGACCCCCAAAAGTCGCAGCTGCTGTGCCAGGAGTGTGTAAATACTCTTATACGTTTCTTTGACATAGACGAGCTGCAACGGGAGCAGGATGCCGCCAATGCAGGCAAAAAGAATGCCGTCAAGCAGCAGGAACTTGTAATTGTCTCGCCTCCCGTGCCCGCAGTTGCCGCCAAAAAGGATGCAAAGCTCGCCAAAAAGCAAAGCCCGCCGCCGCCGCCGCCCAAGGCAGCGCCAACAGCGGCAAAAAGTACGCCAGTGACCGTCAAACTGTTGGCGACATATGTTAAATCAGAGAAACCTCCGTCGGCGGAGGCTACGGATGCTCCTCCACCAAAAGCAGCTGCAGGTGCCCCGGCCATACGCATTGCCAGGGTCAGAACTGTTACCCCGAAACGTTTGCCGGTTAAAATTAAGGAAGCGGTCAAAGCGGTCGCTAAAAGTCACAGCAGCAGAGAAGCCGGGTCAGCGGATCAGGAGCAGATAAGCGCACTAATACGAGACATTCTTGAAGATGAGGAGGCGCCAGGCGATGATAAATTTGTTGAGGCAGCGGCCACAGTGCGTCAGCTGGAGAAACAATCAGGCACGAATAAGCGCCAGCTGAAGGTGGTGGTGCAGCAAGAGCGGGCGGAGGAAGAGTGCCAGACTCTGAACGAACAGGAAAACAACGAGGAGCTAGAGTTTCTGCTCGAGCCTGATGGTAAGTAAACGTACTTAGATATATATCCAAGCACATATATGCATATAGAGACATACTGGCTGGCATTTCCCGGAGTTGCCCGACTTAAGACATTTTGGACATTAATTTTCCACCATTAAATTAGTCAGAGCAAATTATTTTATATATTGAGATATATAACAATTAAATATTTATCGAATTTCTCCACAGATGGCTCCTCCGACTTGGATGTGCGTCATTTCAAAGTAGAGCGCAAAGTCAAAAGCGTCACAGCGCAGTCACAGAATGAGAGCCAAAGCGATGATGAATCCTTCAAAGTGGAACCTTTCAATTTTGTTTTGATCAAGGAATGTGCGTAAGCTAAACCAAGGTACATGAAATACACACTTAGCCAATTCTTACACGCAGCTGATAACATTGGCGATCTGCACGAGTATTTGTCCACCGTGGTCAAGACCAGCTTTGAGACTTTGCAATTCGATTGGGCCACGGTGTGCCGTCATTGCTCGCTAAAGTCCACCAAATATGAGACGTTGCTCAATCACATGCTGAAGCGCCATCAGCTGTCGGAGGATCGCTACAGTTGCCCCATTGAGGGCTGTACGGCGGAGCTGCAGGGCCGCAAATACCTGGCGATGCATTTGGTGGTGCTGCATGCGCCCGTGGCGGAGTAAGCAATTTAATGAATTCTATTCAGAAACCCCAATTGATTGCCTTTCGTTGCAGAATACCCATTTATGGCAAGTGCCCCGAGTGCAACATGACCTTCTCAAACATATTGCAATACAACAAACACTCTTGCGCGCATGTCATCAAGAAGCGTCGCGGAATACGCCTGTACTGCGAGATGTGCGGCTTGGAGTTTCCCTCCTGGAAGCGGTTAGTTGTTGAAATGGCTTCGCTAACGCTGCAGTCGTAGCTAATCTATTCCATGACCAATTTCAGCTTTAATTTCCACAATCAATTTCATTTGGAGCGCCACAGACCGCGCGTCTGTTTTGTGTGCGACTATGCGGACACCAACATAGATGAGCTATTCCATCATTTGCACTATGCACACGAGCCCGAGGGCACGCTCTTCTGTGATCTGTGAGTTTTATATTAACCTGGCTTTCATTTCTTGTCTCACATATCCTTTTGCTCTTGCAGTTGTGATCGCAATTTCCGTGACGCTGCCGTTTTTATGGAACACAATAAGTCGCATTCGAATGTCAGCAGCACCACCTACAGCTGTTCCGAGTGCAGCGCCAATTTTGAGACACGCGGCCGACTTAATGCTCACATGGTGGGTGCTACTTGCGTTTAATCCCTAGTAGAGATCAGTCTCAGATCTTAATGTAGTTTTCCTGTTGGGTCGCGTATCTATAGCCTTGTTTGTCACTTCATGTTTGAATAAGTCGCTTTATTTTTATGTTATCTTGGTCAATTTTGTCATACCGCTGTAACCATGTTGAATTCGACCAGATAAGAACACTGTATCAAATATGTAGGAGCTAGATCTATGTCAAATATGTCGAGGCCAGATCGGCGCACTATATCAAATGTGTAACAGCTTACGCATACATCAAAGCGGCATATAGCTAAAAGAGATAAGTTTAGATTCTGTTTAAAAACCTTTTTCTAAATATCTCAGACTCATCAAATAGGGCTTCCGCTCAAATCGTAAATATTTGAGTTTAAAAAACGTTTGTTTAAAGATATTTTACCCAAAACTCCACAAGTGGCTTTGGTTAAAGCAATCCTTCGCAATATTTTCTTCTCTCACTCAACTTGTGGCTATGATCGAAGTATTGTATAATTGTAGCTTGTTATGATTGCTTGAAATGATATTTAACTGCCTGTTATTTTTGAACTAATGCATATTTTTGTTTATGTTGCAGCGCTCCGTACATGGCAGCGTGATCAGCTGCGAGCTATGCAGCCGCGAATTTGCTACGGAGGCCACCTACAACCTGCACATGAAGACGCATCTAATCATTGAGCGCGAGGTGCATGTGTGCAGCAATTGCGGGCTGCTTAGCGAAAATAACGACAAAATGATGGTAAGCTGCGATGCTTTTATATACTAACATACAATACCCGGCATCGCTGGGGTCTAATGAATAAATGCAGTTGGTAGCGAAGTTAACTTCAGGCAGAAACAAAGCCGCCTGAATTGCCACGCGTTGATAGAGCTAAATTGTAACAAAATGTATATGGTAAACAGTTAAAGAGATATTGTTGCTTTGCAGGCTCATGTGGGAAATGAGGATTCAGCCTGCCTTGGCATGGATGTCTATGCGGAACAGTTGCGTAATGCTTATATATGCGAATATTGCTCCGCGTACTTCAAGCACAAAAGTGATTTGAGCGCGCATCGCGATTCGGGCGTGCATAAGGATGGTTTCTTCTTTTGTCAGCCTTGTGGCAAGGAGTTTGCCGACATGAAACTCTATCGTCATCATTTGCGCAACTTTCAGCAACAGCGCACGGATGTGGCGCATCGCAGGCTGGAGATTGGTCTGTACTACATGTGTGATTATGAGGTATTTATTTATTTATTTCGCTTATTTATTTAAAAAGCCTAACTATTTGATTTTCTGCAGGATTGCACTGAGGCCTATATAAACTGGAATTCGCTGTACACACATAAGCGACGCACACACGACGCCATCTGCAAGCGGGAGCCTCAGGCCAAATATAATGAATGGATCTGTCAGTTCTGCCAGAAGGAGTGTCGCTCCAAAATGTCGCTCTCGGTGCACGTGGCGCGCAGTCACAACAACAGTGTGTATTTGGAAATAGTATAACTAAGTTCCCTTGTAAATACCTTACTCTTTGTAGACAATGTGATTTGCCCGCTGTGCAAAGCCTCGTACAAGGATAAGGAGGCTTTGGCTAAACATAACGCATATTGGCATGAGCCCATCGAATGTCAGCTGTGCCTGAAAGTGGTCAAAAATCGTCGCAACTATGACACACACATGAATGTGGTGCACTCGAACAACAAACGCTACTTGTGCAGTGTCTGCCAAAAGGGTTTCTATCATAAAAGTGAAATGGAGGCGCATCAGCGGGTGAGTCTTCTTCATAAACTATATTTAATATTTCTTAAGAAACTCAATGTTAAAGAACTCTTTTATATTTTTGGAAAATTTGTTTTGGGCAGAACTTTTAGCCGAGCGTGCTAAGTTTATCAGATATCTATCAAATTGAAAACTCGAATCAAATTTCTATATGAGCTCTATGAATAGACAGGTCGGCTTTTTGTGCTTTTCAATTTCTCTTATATTTTTCTAATATTTTGTTTAGATTGCTTAACTTATTAATTATGTGTGGGTGGGTAAAATAATTATATATAGGATTTGAATGATATAAGTTAGTCTTAACTGATTATTATTATTATTATTAGCTTATTGTTATTGGCATATGGCTAGCTTCTATGTGGGCTTACTCTTGTCTCAATTTGTTTTTTTTTTTTCTAAGCTAGGGCAAGCGAATATTTTATATCACTTGATATATTTATATTATATGTATGTCCATATTAATTTGTAATTATTTCCAGTTTATTTGTCTAAAGCTCAGAATTAAAAGGGAAAAGATTTTTTTTTTATTATTTAAATTAATATATTAATAGGGTTATTAATATATTGTTAATAATTAGCAAGGATATCACCATTCGCTAGATGAGTTTTCACTGTAATTGTTAGTTTCTCAGCACTATACTCCTTCTGTGGGCTTCTCTTCGGTTTTAACTTTTCCCCTGATGTTTGTTTGGACGTGAACATAGGTCATACTCAATGTTAAGCGCAAGCTTTCCTTGAAATTTGTGCACTTCCCAACCGTTTCCTTGATAGGGCGTTAGGGCATATCCAGGGCGTTAGCTATATCCAGCGGTAGGCTCCAAAGCATCACGGATTTTTATGCGGAAACAAACAAAAACAATATTAAAATTTCAACAAACAAACCCAAAATTGCATGGAGGCGAAAAAGTAGAGCCCATCAGAGAAAAAGAGAGCTAATAAATTTAACAAATGCCTATCCCTATCCGCAGCTGCATACCCAGTCGTTCAGCTGCGAGCACTGTAGCTTCATCACGCGCAACAAGAAGTCACTGTCGGTGCATGTGCTGGGACAGCACTTCAAACGCTTCGCCTTCGAGTGCAAGATCTGCGATAAGCGCTTCGGACGTCGCCAGGGTCTATCAAATCATATGCAGCGTGTGCATGGCTCCAGGTATACCTGTCGTGATTTCTTTGACGAGGGCTGCAGCAAGTCCTTTGGCTCCACGACGAAGCTCAATATGCATGTGCGTAAGGTGCACAACAGCAGCATTTACCTGGAAGATGAGCGAGTCAAGGCGGAGGAAGACGATGAGGGGGGCGAGGAACTGAAAGAGGAGGAGGAATCAACCAGCGATGGTCCATCCACATCAAAGAAACGCTGCATACGCATCAATGCAAGCACACAAATCGAGTTTATAAGCGACACAGCTGTTGCCGAGGAAAACGAGAGCCTCGCAGGCTCGGAAATCTTTGAGGAGTTTCAAGAGGAGATCAAGGAAGCGGACGCAGAGATGCCAGAATCAAAAAAGCAAAGGCAATGTTAACATTGTTGATTAGAATCAAGTGGAATGTGCATTATTTGATTGTTTTTGCTTTTATTTGTATTCGCTAAAGCAGTTTTAAAACTTTTGATTTCAATTGATTTAAGTAGTTGCTACCCATAATTTTGAACACAAAATATGTCGGTAAAATTGACATACATAATGTAATGTATGTTATATAACATTATAGATATAACTAGCTGCTATTTTCTATATTTCGGTTTTGTCAACTTAAGTTTCAATTATTTTCACTACCCATCTCCACTCCACTTTCCGCTCATTCGCACTTGTCATTCATGGTCTTGTGTTAACATTAGTTTGCTTCACCATTTGCACATTATTTTCTCTACATTCTACTCTCACACATCTTGTATTTACATGCCTGATTTTCTTCACACTTTTCACATATCATTTGGTCAGGCATAAGTTCTGGGTCTTAGCATTAGTTTGCTTAAGCCATGTTCACGTGTATCTCTTCTCATTTGAACACTTTTATCGCAGTAACTATATAAGCTAGCATTATGAAATTTGGTATGTAGACGCCTCCATACCCTACACAGCTTAAGCTCTTGATTAAATACTACAAACTTTTAACTATGCTAACGAAGTTTTTCTAAATACAAATTACATTTGTACAAAAAGAAATCGAATAAAATGAAACATGTTTTGTGGCTAAAATTTGATTTTACAGGATATCTGCGAGTCTTGTCATATATATATTTATGTATGTACATTTACGGCAGCAAATTTGATTTATTAAAGCGTTTTGCAGTTTGGTCATTAAAAATTGCGTGAACAAATTAAATCCAAATTGTTGTGAATGTTTTGATTCGATTTATGATCTAGATCTAGAGCTTGGTACAGCGTAACTGCTAGTCTGAGCAGCAGCACACATCAGCTTATTAAATAGTTTCAATTATATAGAGATATTACATATCGACTAATTTCAATTGCATTTAACTAGCCAGAGTCTGGCGGAAGCAAGTTTGATTTATTAAGCGTTGTAGTTTGGTCATTTAAGCTTTGCAGGTTGAGTGCGGAGCTTACCTGGAAAGCAAGAAAGTAAATAGAATAGTTTCTATATGCAGTTTGGGGTTAAGTTCAGCTCAGGTACTCACTGGGCTAATGGGTGTTATAACAATCGCGGTGCGCGTGGCGCAATGCAGCAGCGCCGTGTCCTCCGTGGACTCATCACAGTCGCCATCCGCATCGACATCGACATCGGCGCCAATGTCGCTATCGATTTCCCACGATGGAAAATGCTCCATTTCGCCCTCACAGTTCAGATCCTCCTCCTCGAAGTCCTCATACTCATCAATGAGTATAACTGTGGGCAATACACATAATACAAATGTTTAAATCAATTATTTGAATATTCCAATTGGAATTCTCTAAACTATATTTTGAATGAGTGCGCAGTTGGTTGCTTTTCTCAATGGATATGTGCTTTATTTGAAATAACAACTAAAGAAAAAAAATTAATGAATCTTTGGCGCTTTGTGGTTTTTTTTGTGCGGGTAGTTCAGGCACGGCCTGGCTTACTTGAACTATCTGGCGGCGTTGGCTTCGCACCGGAATCCAAGGATTGTGCGCCCTCATCTGGCATATTGATGCGTTGCTCGTGTTTGCTATATGGCTCCGATGTGGATCTATGCAGGCTGTTTGTGTTTAATATAAACATCTATATAATATCTTTAACTAATTTATGTTGTTTAATGCCCTTGCAGAAAATTTCCCTGAATTGAGTCAATATATATATATTTGATAGTCAAAAAGATATAAGTATTTCTGTATACCTGATCTGAATGCTTTAACACTTAGCTTCCATAGAAATGATTGGTCTTGCATAAAAGTACTTCATTTTAACTCTATAATTTTGAGTTTTTTAGCTCACTTCCAAAAACAAAGAACCTTTGAAAACCCCATCGTTTCACTATACATCCAATTATTCCCAAAGGCACGATCTGTCGAAAATGATTTCTACTATGAAAAACTTGTTTGTTTTTACAAACTCTTCAGTCATGCGTCTAAGACATCTACTAGAGAGATCAACATCTGACTACTATTAAATACAGCTCCCATAGGCACTTTTGTTTGGAAAGAAATATATCCTGGATATAATATATATATATCTAACATATAAAACCGTCTACGAAATAATCGATTTCTTATTGGGTTCTTCATAGACGAAGCTCAGCAATTGCTCAAAATAATATACCGTTTAATTGTCATATATCTGCAAGGGTATTTCAAGTTCGGCGCGCCGAATCTTTCATTTATTTCTCTTTTGCACTCACCTTAAAGTAACGCGTTTTTTAGTTCTATTCTCTAAATCAGTCATAAATACATCATTGTGCTGTTGCTTCTCAGGCGTTAGCTGATATGGGTTAAGCACGGAAGACTATAAGTATATATGCCATATATATCTTGTATGTAATTAGTTGCCATATATATATGTATTTACCTTTGTATTGGTCGCTGTATGCTGTGTATGCGGCATGGGTGTTTGTGTGGCAATCGCATCCGTTGTGGTTGTCACCGTCTGTGTGGAGGTCAGCGCCGTCTCATTGCTGTCCAGACGATCCACCGATGTGGCACCTGCTGCTGCTCCGGATGGCGTCGACACCAGCTCGGGATGCACGCTAAGCGTGGCGGTTCGCTTCCACACATCGATCATGCTCTGATTGTGTGTGTGATGCAGATTGTGACTGTGACTAGGGCTAATGGAATGTATTTTGGGTTTCGGATTTGCTGGCAACGGAAGCGCTAAAAATCTATCACGATCCTCCATATAGGCCTTGATCAGTATGTCGAGTTTCTCCTCAATATCCACGACCTGCAATAGTTATGATATATATTATCTATAGCATAGTTGGCTTCTCCCCTTCTGCTTACCTGGCGCTCAACCTTAACGACACGCGAGGCTAGGCTGATTTTCGAGGCATACACATCCTTTGCCTTGGATCCTTGTTTGCCCAGAATCTGATCAAGACTGTGCAATATACAAGAAATAGAAAGTATATTTAATAAATATTTCATAAATATAGCACCTATGACATCTGGCTACTTGAGGTTCGAACCCGGATATTTGTTGTGTCTATGTAAAAGGAAAACTTATGGATCTTCCATACTTTATAGAACTTTTAAACTAATTTAAAGCTTGACGTTAGATAATTTGGACTTAATGAGAACAATACATTTTTTCTAAAGCTCAACTAACTTTTTATAACACTCATTTTAATGAGCTTTAAGACTATTTAAATGCATCACGCTAGACTAATTTTTAATGAGAAAAACCAATTGTTTTTAAAGCTCAAAGCTTGCCTAACCCTCTTTATAACCAGTTACACAAGTACCTTATAGAGCTTTTAAGCTACTTTATAGCTTGATGTTAGATAAATTGTATTTAATGAAAGCAATAAATCCTTAAAGGTAAAAGCACAACTTATTCTCTCACTAACCAGTTAAATATGCATTTTATGAGGCTTTACGGTTATTTTAGAGCTTGACGCTAGATAAATTCGATTGAGTTCATTTAGCTCACTGAAAGTTCAAAGGTTCCAAAAATATTTTCATTGTGCTGCTGCAGCAATAAGCTATTATTTATTGTTTAGCTCTTTTCTGGCTAAATTTGTAATTAGTTTAGATGTCAAAAAAATAATACTTTAAAATATTACGTATACGTACCGCAAATGCAGCATCTTGACGCGACCCAGCAAATCCACGTGACCTGTAAACGTTTTGAGATGCATTTTTATAAGTAATATCTTTATGAATTGCAAATAATGCTTTAAGCTAACCCGCCGCATATTGTTCCATGACATCTTTGACATCGTATGGCTTCAATGCCTCCTTAAACTTGCGACGTGCCACGAAATACTTGAGCTGAAATTGCAATATTGTAGGTTATATTTGATGGAGTGATTGATATAGTATATTCATACCTTGCGTATGAAGCGTATGGCGATCTTGTGCCGATTTGTCAGCTGCGTGCAGCGCGGCTCCTCATCCTCATCTGGGGGCAATTTATGAATCAGAGAGATTGACTTGTGCGTTAGGTTTTGGTTGCTTGCTTCGCGCGCGTGGTTAAGCGGCAATTTGTTTAAATTGTTTTTGTTTTTTTTTTTTTGTTTTACATTTAATCAAGTCAATCCAACAACACACAATTAACACATACAAGTAGCGGTATACACACACATATTTAATTATATGCATATTTAGTAGTTAATATAGAACGTACAATAAGTATACAGATATTAGGTTAGTTACGTTTATATCAAATCACAATATAAGAGGGGGGGGCTTTGAATAATTATTAATAGTTCTTGGGTTAGGGGGGAGAGTTAGGAAAAAGCATTGTGAAAGCATTGAAAGCAAGCGTTGTGTGTGTGTGAGTGTGGGTGTGGCCATGTAGCGTAGGTGAGCAGTTGTGGGAGTCCTGTACAGTTGTAACTCCCTATATACATATATATACATATATATCTGATGCGTATGTATCGAGTTAGTACTTACTACAAAGCTAACAAAATGCAAGAACTTAACTAAGTACTACGAGAGTCTAGAGAGCGCATGCTAAACCAAACCTAGCCATACATATACACTTCCTCCGGTCGTGGCATATTTAATTCTAGCCGAGACTTAAGCTTTAAGTTAGGCAAGTTTTTTACGCACTTGCCACATAGAATGCGTCGTGTGCTGCCGCCTCCCGTTCGCCGCCGCCGCCCTGCAATGTGCCCGTTTCCAGAAAATGTGAAGCAGCCGCAAAAAAGCGACCTGTTCGTCCTCGACCCGCACTGGCCGTCGGACTGGCACCGGGATTGCCGCACTTGCCGTTGCCCGTTGGCTCCGTCATGTGACCCGCCTCCAGGTCATCGGTGGGCGTAACGCGCGGATTGCGCAGCGAAAATGTTGAGCCAAAAAAATCACCGTGCAAAAAGCCGCAAAGCACCACGGGTATGGTCAGTGTATTAGAGCTAGCCTCGACCCTCGGCTTAGGGGCAGCTGGGTGCTCTGGGGCCGAAGCCAGTGTGCCCAGGCTGGCGCTATGAATGCAATTGGCCAGCTGTGCCGGCGACGGCGTTGGCTTAGCTGCTGCAGCGTGTGTGTGTGTGAGTGTATAAGTGTGTGTGTGTGTGTGTGTGCGTGTGTGTGAGAAAGCGCATTAGTTTCGGCTTGGTTGGACCCTCAAGGCTTAAATCACTTATTATCCTTTTTTTCTGTTTTCTGTTTGTTTTGTGTTTTGTTTTTTACGAACCAATCAACAACATCAAATTCAAATTCAAATTCAATTTAAAATGCAACCACAACATCGACACAACCACAACACTCAATATAAGTTTATAGTATACGATATATGAATCTCAGGTGTATTGGTATTTGGTATTGGAACCTGGGCAGGACCTTGTAGACTTACCGTCTGAATTTTTTATATTTTTTAAGCAAGTTGTTTCAGCAACTGAATCTTCGCTAAAACTCGGATTCATGGATTTGCCATTTTGTACTACCTCTGAAAATGTCAAACCAGATGTTAAAGTTGTTTTTTGTTTTATATGCTTTTTGTTTTTAATAATTTTGTTTGTGTGCCAATCAGTCAAATCAATCAATCAATCAATCAATGCAGAGACACGGTAGTCTATATGGGTCGCACATAACGGTTACAAAAAAGGTTTAAATCAACACACACCAAAAACATAGAAAGGAATTTTTTCTTCACGTGGTTACGTTTCAACTTTAAGCATTCTTTAAAAAAAAAAACTATTTTTTTTTAACATATTTTTCTTTTTTTTATTTTAGTTTTCGCTTTAAATCTTTGGGTTTATTTAGCGAGTGCGCAGAGAGAACACATTGAGCAAAAAACACTAATGAAAATAACACTACATTTGCTATTAGAAAAAAGTGTTGTACTAAGTGCCGGGTATGAATTATGATAGATGAGTATTGCAGGCCAGTTGAGATTAGATAGGAGCAGCCTGTTATTATAGCTGCTTGAGATGTTGTTAGTGGGTTCTATATTTAGTAGACATTAAGTACATTCCCCTCATATTGGCTTAAGTACTCTATATAATTATTTCCTTAGCACCTTTTCCTTAACCTGCGCTAAGTCTCAGCAATCGTTTAAAGATCTGCCTAATGTATTTTTCTTTGTTTTAACAACAGCTTAATTGACAGTCAATTAATTAACTTACATTTCCTGCTGCTTAATTTCTTATACATTTCTTTTCAATCTTGCAATAAATCTATGGGGTTCCAATTAGTTTCCTATGTCAATTGTCGCATTGTTATATAATTATTAGCTGATTTATTGCCTTATCTTTGCATTAAGTGAAATTTATTGTTTTTGAATTGGTGGGCGTTTTGTTTTCTGTGCACTCAAAGGCAGATGTTTGAGCATTTGTGTATGCACATAACAACTTGCTGTTAAAAAAAAAAAAGTAAAATAATATAATATATTTGTAAATGTAGCTGGGCTTGCTCATTAAATTGGCACGAATACGAATATTTAGAACACTTTCCTACACTTGAACTCATCTTCACAAAAAGATTCACTGAATTAGCGTATTCTACATGTTTCCTATATCTGATATAGACAAATTGGCATGGATAATGGCAAAAATAAAAAGGATGTTATGTTGATGTGAATTTAATTTAATGTTTAACCAGGAAGAAAAAGTGTTGAACAGTGCACTTTAAGTAGAATGCCTTTCAGTGCTGTAAATTGCTTAACTAATTATTATTATTAAATTATTAGTTTTGCGTACGATATTTATGGTTTTTATAGACAGTTAAGTTTTAAGACAACTATTTGAAATGTCAGAGTTAACTTTTGAAAACTTAAAGCCAAAAAACATATACATATATAAAAAAAACTGCATAACTGCAGAGTAATAGAAATAAGTTTGCTGTTTTCCTCTTAAAAAAAAAAAACAAGCATGAGAAAATTGTGAATTGCGATAATTCACTAACATAAGCAAAAAGCTGATGAAAATGCAAATGCCTGCAGTGGAATAGTAAAATATTTTATTATCATTTGTGTAAATTGTTTTCACTGATGCGATGCGCAGCGCAAATAGCAAAGGAAATTGTTGTGAATTCTGCGAGTCAGTGGAGCGAGATAAGTTAATATAGAATGAGTTTTGCACAGATTGAGGAGTACGAGTAGAGAGCATGCATGTTGGTCGGGCCAAGACAAATAGAAAACGATAACTTGTTATTGTTTGTTGGTTTGTGTTTTTTTTTTTTTTATCTTCTCATATTTTTTATGGTGCGTGTGCGTGTGTTTCGATGTGTGCAAACAGAATATGTAATAAGTGGAACTGTATTGGAATATTATAACAACTGGTGAGGCAAACTCTTCAAACGGAACTCAGCCATCATCAGTGAATGCAAAATGGCTTGAAAATAGAATTATTGAAAGAAAACTTACCCAAGTTCTCCACAGATGCGTTGATATCGCGTATGGTGCGCGTATAACGCGTGGAGGCCCGCGACGAGCCCGGCGGCTTGGACATGGGAGTGCCATCCGGTCCGGGCGTCTGGATGGTCTGGCTCTTGTGACGCCTTATTGTCGGCAGGCGGGCCACAAAGGATGTGTTGTGCTTAAAACTGGATGAGGCCCGTCTGTGAAAAACAATATGTGCATATCAATATTTGTACAATCCGGTAAACATAAATGTTTACAAATACAGAAAGATATTGAAGGGATTTCAATAGACGGGATAAAGTTCAGCGTAGTAGAAGATTGTTGCAATAGGTGTGTGTGCGTGTGTGGGTGGATGTGTGTTGTTGTATTGGGTATAAGAGGGTGCTTATGTGCTAGCCTGAAGTTGTGAGTTTCGGGGAAAAATTACATGTGGCAGGTGCGGAGCAAGCTATAATGACAGCAGTTGAAAGGCGCACTTGAGCTGTGGATCTGTCTTGAGCTTTTTAGCTTAAGCTTTTGCTTGAGTTTTATTTAATTTGCTATTTAATGAAACGAAGTTTAAATAAAGTCCTTATAAATTCAGATAGTTCAACTTTAAGCTTTACATGTGCTTTATAATGCTCAATCAATCAATCAATCTTAATAAAGCCAACTAGTTAACCTTGAAGCTTTACTTGAGCTTTGTTACACTGATGAACAAAAAAGAGCTTTAGATTAATCCAATAACTAATGCAAATTGTCGAATATCGTTTAGATATATTGCTTTTGTATATCATTCTAATTGAAGTCTAAATGAAACTAAATACTCTAAGCTCTACTTTTGCTAAGCTAAGCTATTAAGCTATTGTTAATTCTAATAACAGTCACAGGATGAAACAGAAGCTGCTCAAAACTTGAGCTTTCGATAAGTTTGGCAGTAGACGTTTATTAAATTGAGCTGTATTAGGCTCTTGTTGTGGAATTTATGTTTCTAAGAGCCTTCATGTGCTTTTAACGCAATTTGTATGTTTGTATTTATCAAATGCTTAAACTTTCAGCTGGTGTCATTGTGACTTTAAATACACTACATTACACTAAAAGTTACATAGTTACAAAATGTGCATTTCGTTTAAAGATAGTGTATAAATATATGTGTTAGTTTTCGATGTGTCTCTGTGCATACTTGTTGTGAATTTTAATTGTAAATAAAAGAGAGGAGAAATGGGAATAAAAAGCATTTAAATTGCTTGATTGAACTCACATGTTAATTATAGTACACATTTTATGCATTTACGTGTGTGTGTGTGTATGTTAATAAATAGTTTTTTTTTTGTATTTGTATTTTTTGTTTTGGATCACACAGCAGCAGCACAATGAGAATCAATTTGTATCACATTGATTAATTTACTTATATCATCGATGAAAACATAAATTAAACAATTGCAAAACAGAATTTAGCATATGTTATTGTTTTACAATAAACTAATTTTTTTTCTTAAATATTTTTTCGTTAACGCTTTTTAAAAGTTTCACTAAAAATATTTTCGAAAATAGCCAAGTTCGAAAGATAGAGTATGCATTTAGAAGAGTTAGATATAAGTATGTAGACAGAGTTAGTCAGATAGGGTGCGTTATATAGAAGCTGCGAATTACAAAACTCGATAATTGTGTGTTGGGCTTAAGTTATTATTTTTTATTTTTTTTGTACTTAGGAGCATTTGATGCATTTGATGTTTATGACTTGGTGCTTGATAAGCAAAATACCCTATGAAACCAAAACATGAATAGCATTTGCATTTGAAATCATTTTGCTTTTTGATTTTTTGTGAGTATGGTTTTTTTTTTTTTTTTTTTTTTTGCTTTTTATCACTTTTACCTATATTCGGTTATGTTTTTTAATAATCGCTCCCAGTTTTCAGAACTGAAAAGTTTATATATAAAAATTATTATGAAAGAAAATGATAGAGGTACGTAAAAAATGTTAAAATTAAGTACGCTGAAACTGAAATTGTTAATCGAGAGACGGAGAGATAATTTTTTTCTTTTTAGTTTTTGGTTTTGTTTTCTGATTTGTTTTGTTTTGTTGTTTTGTGGTTTATGTGGGTATTTTATAAGTGTATCATATATGCTTTTGGTAGTATGTACAAACTACACATGCGTTGGACGTTGGATGTTGTGTATTGTACAGACTAAAAGTTGTTGTTGGGGGCGCTCGTAGAACTTTCCACACGCCTTTCGCAGTGATTCTCATAAAATCTACTGCGGCACGCACACGTTTTGGTCACACTTTTTAATACAACTCGTTCGGTTTGTTGTGTGTGTGTGTTGGTGTGTGGTGTGGAGTGGTGTGTGGGCGTGTTATTGTGAATTTGTACAACTGGATTACATGAAAAAACTCTCAGTAGGACCAAAGAATAAATTCGCTTTTAAAACGGGATTTTAAAATATAATTGATTTTAAAAATAATAATGTAAAGAAAAATAAAAATATTATTATTATTATTGTTGACAAAAAATGACCTAATCGGCAAAATATATTTCATATTTCAACATGCCAGTAGAAAATCTTTTAACAAATTGGGGAACAACAAATAATTAGAATATTAACATAAATGAAAAAACAAATTAGAAATTAGTTCTTGATTAGAAGCTGGCTCTGTCAATAATTCAATAAATGATATTTAAAATTATAAAATGATATTTAAAATCAACAGAAACGATACCAAACTTTCCTCATAAATGAATAGTTGTCTAGGGACCAGTTGAAGAGTTTTTTCATGTTTTTCCAAAAGCGTAATTGCAATTGTTTTAACTAGTATGAACTAGAATAAACTAGAGTATACTTGAATATTCATATATTCCACTGCAAGTCCCTGATCAAATGTTGTATGCATTTGTGTGCGGCATTTGAATTGCCCAACGGGGACAAGGGGGTCTACTTACGATGCGGGCGGACTTGGCAGCGCCACCTGATGTATCTTCCAGGTGGCCACGGAAACGGAATGCTCATCGGCCGCATAGCAGCGCCAAACGGCCTGAATGAGCGTCGCCGCCGGCTGGCGACGCCGTATCATGTGCTTCTGGCGCTGCTGCTGCTGCACCTTCAGCGCAAACCCGCTGCCCAGAATGCCCTGCAATGAGAGGATGTATGGACGGTTGATTGGAATCCGGTCGGTGAATGCATAAATAAACGACATGGACTTACCGCAGGGAGCGCAAAGAAGGATATGCCCAATAAGGCACAGCACGAGGCAATCAATTTGCCCTGCCAGGTGATGGGTACCATATCGCCATAGCCCACGGTGCAGAGTGTTATCTGGGTCAAAGTTGAATAATTTAAGTGCTTGCAGTTTGGTTGGTTTTCGGTAACATACCACGCCCCACCACAACGCCTGTGCAAAATTGCTGAACTTCTCGTTAACGTCCTTCTCCCACATGTAAACAAGGAATGATGCAAAGATGAGACCTAAAAATCCAATATACATGGTTGTGATGAGCTCCTAGAAAAGCAACATATGAATTACAAGCTGGGTTAAACTGCATGTTAAATCTTAGGCAACCTGTCTGTGTGCGTATACAACCGAACCGAGCAGTTTCCAGGTGCCACCGCGTCGATCCATGCGCACCATGCGAAGTATCTGAAAGAATCTTAAACCACGCAATGCGCTCGTCGCAAACACCTGGCCAGAGGTACCCATGCCTAATACTACAATTGAGGCTAAAATGGTGATAATATCTACAGAGGAAAACATTCGATAATCGAATAATCAAACTGTTATTGTTTACATGAAATCCAATCTCACCTATAATACAAAACGGTTGCTTTATAAACTTAAGCCGTCCCAGCGTGCCCTGGTAGCGCGATCGGCAGCCCGATGACCACAGACGCGCCCCAAACTCCATGGTAAACCAGATGACAACTATGATTTCCATGCGAAACAATATATATACAGCATCCTCCTCGTATTCCTTGATGGTGGAAAACACGCTCAATGCGAGACATGTGAACACCATCAGAAAACTGTAAAAAACAATACACAAATATTACCCGCACTTATTACAGTTAGAGAATCTGAAAGTCTTTTACAGGGGAACATGCACTTAATTTTGTTAAATTATTATCGATTTTAAGGATATGTGGAAAATATGTGTTTTTTTTTTAATTTTACAAAATTGTAGATCTGCCATGTTAAATTTGTTAGCCGGAACATTTCTATACAAAAATATTTAAATTTGTTGAATACATGATTTGAGTGCTTAACCGGCTCCTGGTAAAGTGACAATATTAGAGTTTTACTGGCCAACAATTTAAATGTAGGTTCAAACATTTTAAAATTCAAGCGAAGTCATTTTATTTGGTCTTAGGCGGAATTACTACTTCTATCAAGCTCTGTTCTAAGTTTAATTTAGATATTGAGCAGAGAACTTAAGCAAAAATATAACTATATTGGATTCAATTTTTAATTAAATTAAATAATTTGCTTAAAGCCTAGATCTATTTTTTATAATTTTTTAAATGTAAGGAACTTCAAATTAATCGAATAATGGGGCTTTCTTCTTTCTGCCTGTTTTTACAAGTTATTTTTTAAACAAAAAATCGTCCAATTGTATTTTTTAATTAATAAGCACAATTGTTATCAAGCTTAAAGTTTCTCTATGACGTCTATTTAATGACTAATAATTTTACTTATTAATTACTAATTAAGTGTTCTGCATAGTTTATACGAATATATTCTTTGCAATCTCAAGTAAGGGTATATATTCGACATTTATTTGCTGAGATTCATTAGGAAATCATCGCTTGCTCAAATTGAGCTAACAAATTGCTGCAATTGTTGTTATAGTCTATATAGATGATTGATCAGTTTTGTACTTACACCATCACATGATAAAATATTGCATGCAGGCCCCGCGGTCGCTCTAAGAAATTGTAGAGCCGACTTTGCATCCGCCGGTAGCGGGCATCGCGGCGATGTGTGCCGCGATTATAGTTCAGCGGCTTCCCTAGGAGTGACATTCGCGGTTGCAGAAATTGTTGCGATTTCTTTGGTCCCGCCGGTCTACATTTCCTGCAAAGCACACCAAATAGAAAGCACATTAATTAAATTTAATAAACAATTCAGTTAGTTCTTATCGCACCCCTTGAAGCCCATTATATCATAGAATGCATAAACATCGTTCTCGGGATCCATGTTACGTTTAACATGCCCCTCAAGACCTAATCACTGTACTAAAAACAAAACAAAAAAACCAAGCACAAAACACAAGTAACGCTGATAATAGAGCCCAGTAAATGGGGTGTACGACGTGTGTCGCGTTTGGCGTTCAAATCACAACTCGATCGTCTGTTGAGCGTTTCGAGCGTTTAAAACCCACACAGCTTATAGACTTTCCAAAAACCTCCATGTGTAAATTTTTATTAATTATATACATAAACTGTTTTGTTTTTTTCTGTTTTATTTCTTCTTTTTTTTTTCTACACACCTTGCATTTTTATGGTCGCCTGTGTCTATGTAGACCTTTATTTGATTTGATTTTATTTCGTATTTTATTTTATTTTGTTGCACCTGAGACTTCGTCATAAAATTTTGCCAAGACTTTAATTTCGTCATATACGTTTTTTTCGCATATTCATTTTGTTGTTGTTGTTTTTCTCTTTATTGATCGTTCAGACAGCTCCTTAGTTTAGTCACGATCTCTAGAGGTTATTGTTTCTTTTTGATTTTTTTTTCATTTTGGCGGCAACGTGTCGTATGCTTGATGTACGTCATTAACACAGACGTTGCCGCCCTTTTTGGCAGATAGCAAATGCAAATATGGGCGAACTGCTTTTTGGGGGTGTGTGTTTTATTCAATTTGGCATTTACGACTGCCGCGGAAAAGTTTTACGTACGGCTCACAGTTACAGCTACTTACTTTTATGCTCTTTAAGGCTAATAAATGCATATATTATACAAATTCAGCTTTAAGCCTTAGGCAGGCACCCACTGCATTGACCCAGTTTTTGGAAAACTAGTTTGCATAGCCTGTATTAGTCGTGGCCTGCAGCCTACGGGCGGGTCAGTTGTCTGTTCTCATTGTCAACGTATAAAGCCAATACAAATAGAAGTCGTTAAAATGCCTCTAGAATGCAGGCCTTTGACTGCATCTTTTGATTGATTAAAATTTACTTAGAATTTAACTTTTTAAATATGCTGCATGCGCCCATTTTAACTGAGTTTTGTCTAAGTTAAAAATATAATAAATTGTCAAAGAAAATATACTCTAATTATTTTAATTAAACCTATTGACAACCAAAACCTAATACAAACGAAATCAAATCTATTTTGTATCGCTTTTAATTAATATATGTGTGAGGTTTATTTTTCTCCAGATTTTATGAACTCAGTTCCTTAAAAGTCTCTGGCATTAACATTTAAGTACAGTTGAGCGCAAAGAGAACAAGCCCATAAATCAGTTAACGTTTGATCCCTGATAACGGCTTAGACTAACAATAATTTAATAGAAATCGCAAATTATATAAATCAAGATAAAGGTCAGTTAACATGTCTTACGTAATGAAATATAATATTTTTTTGTTTTTATATTTTATTTTTTATTTTAAAATTGTTTTTATTTATTTCACATTATTCGGGCTTATAAAGAAATTCGATTTCTTAGAACTATCGACACATTCCACCTATTTGATGCTAACCAAAATTCAACACGTCAAAAAAGTACATATTTACTTCTCTTTGTTGTTCTTATTAACGTGCGACTGTAATGGGCACGCTCATTTGTAAATGTGTGTAAAGATAAGTGCATAAGTATTAGTGCAACGTTTGCTTTAAAAGCTTTTTGCCTTTAACTTTACAAGCACGCTGAGCTTTAAGCTTGTTAAGTAGTTACGTACGTGTGACGTGTATGTGAGTTAAGTTATCACCAAGATTTCTTCTACAGTAAAACTTGACTAAGATAAACAATTGAATTGCTTTCGATGTAGATGAATATTTACGGAAATGACATCTCATATTATAAATTTCATTTATTCTTAATCATATATTTATTTATTTAAATAATTTATAAGGTAAAATGTAAGCCCAATATGTTCAGTTTATATTTTCCACAAAGTTTCTATAGAGCTTTATTATCAAAAAACTGTTCTGTTCAGGAATTCAGAATTATGACACATTAATTGCATATCATCTTGTTTCTGAACGCTATTGCCATTCTGAATTACAGAAACTTTTGAGCTGGCGAATATTGTGGCCATAAAAACTGTGTAATAAAGCAATATACATTTTCCAATGGCAAAAATTTCATAAGTTTTGAGCCAATTCGAAAAAAGATATTCACTGAATTTGTTCTAATTTTGTAGTTTTTCCTTTGTTGTCGAAATGATCATAAATTTTCATAGTGTGTAAACAAAATCACATGTGCACACTCTTCTGTTAAAGAATGCGAAGTCAAGCTAACTATGCTTAAATACCCTACCTATACTCTATGCATATTCTAATGCCAATTGTGAGTGGGATGCAAAACCAGTTTTTAAACTAATAGTAAACCAGGTTCATAAAAGCACGGCGGAAGTTTTGGCTTAGATGTTGGCAATTCATCAACTGATCGAGTTGTCGCTTTCCATAATTGAAAGCTTTTATAGGCACGATTCCCCTCTCACGACTGAAATTTACAAGTGTCACGAAATCGGTAATCTGAACCCATTGTTAACTCAATAGAGTATATTGGTTTGCATATGTAACAGGCAGAAAAGCAGCGTCGACCTTATTAAATACATTTACCAATAATCCTGTCCTTCAAAAGTTTCAGAGACGATAACTTGCTCCGTTTTCAAGAAATCCCGAAATTTTGAATTTTTAAAGCATAGCTCGCATTTTTAAGCAGCAATTGATCCCAAATTGTTTATATAGATAAGGAATATTTCCCTTTTTGTTTAACTTTATCTATTCCATTCAAAATTGTAAAAAACGCATTTTTCGTATTTACTCTCTTGGCTGTCATATGAATGCCATAAAAATTTCACTAAGATCGGACTTTAAGCACCGAAGTTATATGAGAATGCATTTTACATAGTTTGGGGCTAAGGGAAGAAGCAGCACAGCGTGTGTGTGTGTGCGTGTTAGTATACGAATGTATAGAATGAAACTTGAATGCTGTCAAAGATAACTCACTGCTGGTTGCAGGGTATCTGCTAGTCGGGCACACCCGATTAGAGCACTCTCAATTTTTTTGATTACTGCAAGTGCTCGCGACACAAGCAAAAACTCATAGATATTATGTACTAGTACTACGAACTCTATCTAATCTCCGAAATAAGAGCGGAAACAAAGCATTTTTGCAACCCAAAAATTATTCGAGTTGTTAACTGAAAAAACAAACCCTGAAAAATGTTTTTTGTTTTTTTTTCAAATTTTAATGTAATGCTTGTTGTATTTGTTTGTTTTAGTCTGTAGCTGAGGCTTAGGTTAGACGACAGTTAAAATATATATTATGTACGTGTGTGTATTGTGTGTCTGTGTGTGTGTGTGTATTGTGTGTCTGTGTGTGTGTGCACGTTTTGGCCGTTTATATGTATATACATTAGTTGCTTTGTTGGAAGGCGGTAAATAACAGTAAAAATATGTATAATATGTACGATAGATTTATGTATTATATCGAGATATATGTATATACATATATATGGTTGGGTTGTTGTATCCGTCTGTATAAGCACGATACAAAAATCACAAATTGTTTTTGTTGCTGTTAGCACCGCCCGCTCCAGGTGTCCAGGTGTCCAGATGCCCAGGCAGCCATCCAGGTGGGCATTTCGTCGGCGTTCACTTCTTGGCATCTATGATGATCTCGTCGCCCGATTGTATATTGTAGCTGTAGAGCTGTTTGTTGGGATATCGCATCTCCTCGGGCCCAAACTCCTTGTAGTCCTGATCCAGGTAATAGAGACGCATCTTGTTTGGCGCCAAATTGATGAGCTTCTCCAGCTTGACCTTCAGATCGTTGACGGTTAGATAAATGTCCACGAAACGACTTTCGCTGACTTCGTTGTATGTGAATATGACCTTGACCCGTTTCTCCGGCTTCAGATTGACATTGACCAGCGGATCCAGTTGGCCATGCACCGCCAGCAGCTCCGCATAGCGTGCCGGCCGCTCGCACTCCGGCTTGTCCATATAGTGGCGCACAAAGGCGCGTTCCGCGTCCACACGCTCATCCACGCTGATCTTCCCGCCGCCATTCAACATGGACACATTGGGCAGACGGGCGATCAGCAGCTGACGGCGCTCGTGCTCGGTGCACTCGAGTGTCTCCCAGAGGGGCCAGTGCTTGACACGCAGATTCTGCAGCTGGCCGTATTTGGCCAGCTCATCGATGTCCGCCCAGCTGTTGAGCTGGGCGCAGCTCAGATTGAGCAGCTTCAGGCAGGGAAAATATTTGTGGCACTCGCTGGCGCTGGCCGAGTCCAGTTCGGCGTTGGCCTGCAGCGATTTGATGGGGCACTCGGCCAGCACTAGGGCCTCGAGGCTGGGAAAGAGTCTGCCCAGGCGACATATTTCCTGCCAGTGCTCGATGGGATTGCCCGTGAAGTGCAGTGTCTTGAGCGCCGGATGTGCCTGGGTCAGCTTGCGTCTGGCCCGGCACAGGCTGCAGCAGCTCTCAGACAATGCATGCGCTTCCGCTTCCGTTTCCGTTTCGGTTTCGGTTTGTGGCACGCACTGGCAGCTGCTGTTACTGTGCTCCGCCTCCTCAGCCGCATCCAGCAGCACGGCACTGTAGTTGTTCAGGCTCAGGTGCAGCTCCTGCAGCACCGGCAGGTTCTGCAGCAGCGCATCCACGCACATCCAGTCCAGGTAGGTGCCATTGAGCACCAGATTCTTCAGATTAATCGTAGGCGCCGCCAGCAGCGCACTGGGCGTGCTCAGCAGCTGATTCTTGCTCAGATTCAAGAACTCGATGCGCGGCATATGCTTCAGTATGTTGAACACCTCATGCCAATCCTGCAGCTTGTTCTGCGCCAGATCCAGCTCACGCACACGCTGGCATTTGTCGCGTATGCTCTCAAAATCGCCGGCGC